CTGACGAGGCTCCTGATCACGCCTCGGACAACGCTCCGGAAGATATCAAGATATCCGATGATGTTGCGAATGTTCATGGTGGCCCAGAATATGATTCGTTTCAAGGAGAGGGCATTCCGGAAGATGATCTTACGGATGACTCCTTGCCCGACGACATTGCTGATAAGAAGAAGCCTGAAAGACGGAGTTAACAAAAGAAGTGATTTGAGGTTGACAAGCACTTATTCGAGACGACCATTAATGGTTCATTTCCACGTTCAGTGTGCTTTGTGTGTTCCTGCTTTGGACCAGACTCGTGTCCAAAGACGCACGAAGGTCTGCGCTGCTGCTAGGGCTTTCCTGGCTGAAGGGTAGACGATCTGTAAAAAAGCGTCGATGTACAATAACATTTTTGGAGAAGGCATAAAGGCGCTCGCCACTCCGGTATGTACAATATATACGAATTACGATAGAATATAGAATTTTCTATTCAGGAGCATTCGGGAGTCATAGTACATGTACTGAACCTTTCGTAGATCATCTGTTGATTCCCTACCAAATGCTTATCTTATCGGTGGCAAGTTGCCGCCACAACGATTTTCCGCAACTGGGAGCTTTCCGGCCGACGAGACCGCGACAAACCACCAAGTCAACGTTGGGATTTGAGTGTTTTGCGCACTCTCTCGCAAGTGAATTTCTGATTTCTTTTAGTATTTGATCGTATTGTTTATTTTTTTTTTTTTCTCACTTGTCGTTCCTTTCTAATCACCGCAACACCTACCATGGACGACCTCCAGTCTCTGGAGCTTTTTTCGCTCGTGTCGCGAATCACAGGCGAACTCCAAAACCACTTGGGTGTCAACGACAAAACTCTCGCAGAATTCGTAATTGATCAACACCTATCATGCGGTTCGTTTGCAGAGTTCAAGAAAACCCTCGAGGACATGGGGGCGGAATTCCCGCAGAGTCTGATGGAAAGTATCGACCGCTTGGTCCTGACAATGCATCCGAAGTATAAATCAAAGAAAACGGAAACAGCGGGTGAATCGATCGGTGACGATGATATGGACATGCTTGGTGCGTTGGAAAAGAAAGCGCGTGTGTTCAAGGGTCTTGCTGTGCCGGATAAAGCACCGAGTTGGGAGGAAGAGGAACGGAACGCCGTTGATGAGAGTAACGCTAAGGCCGATGCTATGGATGATACATTTGCGATGCTGGAAGGGTTAGCAGGGAAAGTACAAGGAGATAACGGTCGGTCGACGAGAGACGAGCGCAAAAGACGGAGCAGAAGCCCGGATTACGATGATTACGACCGCGGACGGTCACGACATAACAGATACCGCTCACGATCAAGGTCACGCAGCGTTCGACGCAGTAGGAGAGATGACGACGTCGACGAGTTTGGGCGTTCATTGGGCAAATATAGCAGCAGAGACGAGAAGTACCGGAATGGGCATGGCGAACGACGAAGAAAACGTGACCGCTACGATGATGATGACGATTTCCGACGACGACCACCTGTTGAGTTGGATGACCAGCCAATTCTCTATAAAGTATACGAAGGTCGTGTGACGGGAGTAAAGGATTTCGGTGCTTTCGTCAACCTCCAGGGCGTGAAAGGAAAAGTGGATGGGCTTGTACATGTTTCTGCTATGCAGGAGGGAGTAAGAGTAAATCATCCGTCTGATTTGGTCTCGCGCGGTCAGCCACTTAAGGTCAAAGTTGTCAGCATACAGGGTTCGCGCATTGGATTGTCGATGAAGGAAGTCGACCAGGTGTCCGGTATGGATCTCGTGCCACAACGGAGGCTTGCATCAGGGGCAAATATGGAACGCATTGATGGTTCTTCTGCGGATGATGATAGATATGGAAACCTAAGCTCGGACGTACCGGTTATCGAGGACTCAGATGGCAGACCAATGAGAAGCCGCAAACGCCTGACATCCCCGGAGAGATGGGAAATCAAGCAATTAATTGCTTCCGGTGCTGTCTCTGCTGCTGATTACCCCGATATCGACGAAGAATACCATGCCACCGTTACCGGCGAGGGCACTTTCGAAGAGGAAGAGGATATTGACATTGAGGTCCGAGATGACGAGCCTCCTTTCCTGGCTGGTCAGACTAAGATGTCATTGGAGCTCTCTCCCATTCGAGTCGTGAAAGCACCCGACGGTTCCCTGAACAGATCTGCTATGGCAGGTACCGGCCTGGCTAAGGAGCGCCGAGATATACGACAGCAAGAATCTAGGGATAAGGCTGCCGAGCAAGCTGCCGAAATTGATCTGAACGCACAGTGGCAGGACCCAATGGTAGCGCCTGAAGAGCGTAAATTTGCGGCTGATCTTCGTTCTGCTCAGCAACCCAAGCAAGATGATAGCGTTCCTGAGTGGAAGAGGGTTACTATGGGCAAGAATCAGTCTTTTGGCAAGAGAACCTCTATGTCTATGAAACAGCAGCGGGAAAGTTTGCCCGTCTTCAAATTCCGCAAACAACTGCTTGACGCGGTCCGTGAAAATCAGTTGTTGATTGTCGTTGGAGACACTGGCTCAGGAAAGACTACTCAGCTGACCCAGTACCTTGCCGAAGGTGGATATGGGAACAGTGGTATTATCGGGTGTACACAGCCCCGTCGTGTTGCAGCCATGTCAGTTGCCAAACGTGTGGCCGAAGAAGTTGGTTGTAGGCTCGGAGCAGAAGTTGGATACACAATTCGTTTTGAAGATTGCACGAGCCCAGAAACCAAAATCAAATATATGACTGATGGTATGCTCCAAAGAGAAGTTCTTTTGGATCCAGACTTGAAGAAGTATTCTGTGATTATGCTTGACGAGGCCCACGAAAGAACAATTGCAACGGATGTGCTTTTTGGTTTGCTTAAGAAGACTATCAAGAGGAGGCCCGATCTTAGACTGATTGTGACGTCCGCTACTCTGGATGCTGATAAGTTCTCCGAGTACTTCAATCAGTGTCCGATATTCTCTATTCCTGGTCGGACATACCCTGTCGAGATCATGTATTCTAAGGAGCCAGAGTCGGATTACCTTGATGCAGCCCTCATTACTGTCATGCAAATTCACCTAACAGAGCCATCTGGTGACATCCTTGTTTTCTTGACTGGACAAGAGGAAATCGACACGGCCTGCGAGATTCTATATGAACGGATGAAAGCATTAGGTCCCACCGTACCGGAGCTGGTCATTCTCCCTGTCTACTCTGCACTCCCGGGTGAGATGCAGAGTAGGATTTTCGAACCGGCACCTGACGGTGGTAGAAAGGTTGTCATTGCAACTAACATTGCCGAGACATCCATCACGATCGACCAAATCTACTACGTTATTGACCCTGGATTCGTGAAGCAAAACGCCTACGACCCGAAACTAGGAATGGATTCACTGGTTGTGACTCCTGTATCGCAGGCACAGGCCAAACAGCGAGCTGGACGAGCTGGAAGAACCGGTCCTGGTAAATGTTTCAGGCTATATACCGAAGCGGCTTACCAGTCCGAAATGCTGCCAACTACGATTCCCGAAATTCAACGCCAAAACCTGTCGCATACCATTCTCATGCTCAAGGCGATGGGTATTAACGATTTGCTCCACTTTGACTTCATGGATCCTCCGCCGACAAATACCATGCTTACAGCTCTAGAAGAGTTGTATGCTCTGTCCGCACTTGATGATGAGGGTCTTTTGACCCGCCTGGGAAGGAAAATGGCAGACTTTCCCATGGAACCAGCGCTTGCCAAGGTCCTCATAGCGTCGGTTGAAATGGGATGCTCCGAGGAGATGCTGAGCATTGTTGCTATGCTTTCTGTACAATCGGTCTTCTATCGTCCAAAAGAGAAACAGCAACAAGCGGATCAGAAGAAATCCAAGTTCCACGATCCTCACGGCGACCATCTGACTCTACTCAATGTATACAATGGGTGGAAGAACTCTAAGTTCAACAATGCTTGGTGCTTCGAAAACTTCATCCAAGCCCGACAAATCCGCCGCGCCCAGGATGTCCGTCAGCAGCTTATGGGCATCATGGACAGATACCGCCATCGGATCATCTCTTGCGGGCGAAACACTATCAAGGTGCGTCAAGCAATGTGCACAGGATTCTTCCGAAACGCAGCCCGCAAAGACCCCCAGGAAGGATACAAGACTCTTGTGGAAGGCACACCCGTGTATATGCATCCCAGCTCCGCCTTATTTGGCAAGCCGTCTGAACACGTCATCTATCACACATTGGTCCTTACGACCAAAGAGTACATGCATTGCACTACCTCCATTGAGCCGAAATGGCTTGTGGAGGCAGCGCCGACCTTCTTCAAGGTAGCACCTACAGATCGTCTGTCCAAGCGCAAGAAGGCTGAGCGGATTCAACCTCTGCATAACCGCTTCGGAGGAGAAGATGACTGGCGACTTTCTGCGCAGAAACGGCAAGGCAGAGGTGGTGGTGGCGGAACTTGGGGTTAGATTGTTTTCTACTGTACCTTGTTGTTTCCTATGATATATTAGCACTACTGTGAATACCCATTTCAAATATTTGACATATAATGAATGTATCATGTCTAAGCAACCTTCTTTTCTAATGAGTTAAAGAGATAGCGTAGTCAGAGCTATCATAGTTTAGAAAGTCAGTTTTAGTAAGTTAAATTTTTGGCCCTTGGGCAAACAACTTCTAACAGTTGCTGGTTCTGTAGTGTAATGGTTATCACTTTGGATTCTGATTCCAACGATCCCGGTTCGATCCCGGGCAGGACCTCTATTTATTTTTTTATTTTTAATTTTTTGCACCCTCTCATTGCCGATGACGACTAGTACAATGTCATTTTTTCTGTTCTTTGTTTTTATTTCCTTTCTCCCTCTGATTTTTTTAATTGCATTTCTCTTTCAATATTTGCTTCCGAGTACTTTGCACGAGTTCGTTAGAAAATTGGACAGTCGGCCAATCAGACGACGCAAAACTCTGAAGGGAGCGGAATATCTTGATCAAATCCAGAAATATTCTTACAACAAACCTCAACCACCAAAATGCAACACTTCGATAATCAATCGCCTCGAACTAAAAGGAGAAAGCTTGATAATGGCCAGCCAGACAAAAGCGCAGCCATAACATCGCATACGCAACTGCGCAATCTGCTGGTATTTCAACAGAACGCCGTTGAGACCAAACATGGTACGTTTTGTCGCAAACCCTTTGCATCGTAATATCATGTTCAAATTTACTCACAAATGACACAAAGGCATCAATACATTTAAAGAATTCCTATTGTCAATCAGCCAGACAGAGGATGGAAATGAAAAGGCGAAAAAACGCGATGTGCTAAAAGCCTTTTGTGACTCGCAAATTTCTCGCACCGGGGGAGAAGACGATGCAGCCGTCTGTTTTCCCGATTTAATCCAAACATGGAACTTTGCAGACAGCAACAACAATGAGTCTCTTCTGACGGTCGTTCCATCTGTTCTGGCTATATTCTTGAAAACGGTGTCTAGCCATTTGGAGTTCCGCGAGTTTGGACTTGCGCTATGTAAATATCTACTCGAGAAGGAGCAGCTCAAACTCTTCAACCGTGGTATGGCTGCGGTGAAGTCCAAGGAGCATTTGATCTCTCCCTGTCTTCGTTTGCTCACGGAGATTGTCAGTTTTGACGGAGGTGCGGCAGCTCGCCAGGTTTACTCCAGACGCCACACCACCTTTAAGCGTCTTGAAGTGTTCCTGACCCCTAACAAGGCCCAACTGGAGGATGCGGGAGATGAATCGTTTAGATCTACTCTTCGACGGAATGCTCAGCGATATGTTCTTGCCAATCTGAGGTTCCAGCAAGCGTCGGCAAAGAACGACATCCTCGAACAGCACAAAATGATCAGAGCGCTCTTTGAGTATGTGAGGAAGGATTCCCGCGATATCATCCTGGATATTATCAAAGCTTCCGAGAGAGATGTTGCTCAAGATTCTTCCCTATCTAGACAGGCTAAGACGAAATTCTTCAGTCGGTGGAACTTGGAGAGACTCGTGACGCTCTATGGGTACGGCCAGGAGCCCGAAGAAGGCTCTGGGGGTGTGTCCATCGCAGATGCAGTGCACAAGGTTCTCATGAATGTCTGCACAAAGCCTGAGCTTGGTGTTCTCTTGCCGGAATCCGGCTGGTATCCCAACGGAAGTGACCCCGAGTCAGTACCGACCGAGGACGATGCTTGCATCGAACTTGGGCTGGATTCCGCTGTGCATGTCGACAAGTACAGAGAGTCTGTACCGATTCGCAACGGCACACTTTCATATCTTATCCAAACACTTCGACCAGACATGAACAGCTCTCAAATTCAACTGCTGGTAGCCATATTCAAGGCTGCGCCAGAGTTAATTGCCGATTACTTCACCAAGAAGACCATGTTCATTGCAGACCCGAAGCCTACGCCTTCATGGATGGCCGAATCAGCATTGCTCTTTTCGACGATCCAGTTAGACGTTCCGGCAAACTGCGGCTGGAAGGGCAAGTTGCCCGCGATGCCGCCACCAGTCTCTGTTGTTATCGAGAGCATCCTCCCGCGCCCTCTTACGCAGAAAATATTGACTCGTTGTATCAATCAAAATGCTGAGATCGTGACGCTGTTTGCGGTTCGCATCTTGACGATCGCCTTTAACAAGTTACGCGCGGTCTTGAAGATATTTAACGCTGACCACGGCTCTAGTCAGACATTTTGGAATCAGGCTACGGACAAATTAGTTGCGGAGTTCTGTCGCCGCTGTCCTGCTATGAAGGATGTCATCCTCTTGTACAAGAGAACGGATAAGGATGATTTGTCGCAGCAGGAAGCTGTTGCGGAGCTATTGGCCTGCTTCTACGAGATCATTCCAGATATTGCATTGGAAGAAACTTTTGATGTTTCGTTGCTTTTGGTTGATATATTGAAGCGGTTGGAAACGCCAGATCTTAACTCGGATGACTCCGAGTCGTTACTTGGCCAGTTGCAGAGCGCCCTCAAAATCGCGCAACAGTCTGCATCCATACGTTGGTGGCAAAAACCAGGTAAGTGACTGTGGCTAGTACCTCTCTTCTTTTTGTGTTATATTTATATTAATTCTTCACCTAGCGTCGATGCCGCATTCGGCTTTTACCTCGATTTTCAAGGTTTTCATTGATGCCACGGACAAGGATTCCTTGCAGGAGATTGGAAACCTGCTGAGTAACGTGCTTGTGGAGAACTCTGTTCTCCAAAGCTCCCCGAATTCCTTTTCGTCGCTTCTGTCGAGCTTCGAAAAGTCCGAGCAACTGCCTAACCAATTGGCATTCTTTGATAACTGCATTTGTCGATTGGCAAAGAAGCCTGTCCACTATCAAGACTTGATTGGATCTATGTCAGCAGAGGCAGGATATGTTAGTGCTTTGTTTGCTGCTATCTTCGAACAATGGCCTTTTGTGATCAAAAGCGGGGATGCCGTTGCGGAATATGCTGTTGGTTCTTGGATTGCCAGAGTTCTTGGGAAATTCAAGCAGGCCGGAGAAGACACCAAAGTGTTGAAATCTGTCCGAGACAGCTGCATGGAAGCTACTGAGAACAGAAAGGTCAAGTCACTCCTGAAGAAGGCGTTGAAGTTTGCTGAAGAGGCTGATGACGATGACGCCACCATCCAAAAGCAGAGCAAGCCTGTGCGGAAAGCCTCTCAGTCGCCTCCTAGTCAAGAGCAGAAGACGGATCTGGAAGAAATTTTCGGCGCTCTACCTACCGAAGGCACCACTCATAATGCGCTCCAGCGGTGGGAAAAAGAAGACCTTGAAGTTTCAGTGGAACAGGGCCGTATCGCAGAGCTCATGCTCTGTCTTTGCTCTGAGCATGAAGAGGTTCGGAGACAAGCATTTACGAATCTTTCTCGGTTCATCATGAAGCTTAAGGATTCTAAGTATGTCGAGTGGCGGTCAGTTTACCTGTTGACTGGTGAACTGCTCGAAACCGTCCGACAGCTTGGTTTGGAGGCCCCCCTCCCCTGGATAGTGGGCGAATGTGCGTCCAGCTGCTTGTCTGTCCTGACGAATCCTATGCACAAGTTATATGGAAAGGTCAACAAGTTTCTCCAAAAAGCGCCGTATTGGGAGGTGGAGAAGATTGCAACATATTGGGTAGACAAGATCTTGCTTCATGAACCCGAGTTGGATGATGGGTATTTTGAAGAGATCAATTGGCTGCTTGACTTGTTCGTCAAGGGTCTGCGGACAGGAGCAGTATGTCTATCTTCTTCTATTTCCTCTCTTCGCTGATAGATATAGCTAACTGAGTATTCAGGACATGGAAATCTACCGTCGTGCCAATGTCTTCGAACGACTCCTCTCTTTCTATGAATCACCCAGCGCCGGGTTCTCCGCAAAGAGACGAATCTTGCATCTGCTTTACCGATCGACGCAGGTCGGGGGTAGCACGACGTTGATCACCCGAGCCGCTGTTGTGAGCTGGATCCAGAGCCAGATCGTGGGCGTTGGGAATGCGCGAGATGCGTCCACCATTTCTGCACTTGCTGAGGTGGTGGGTAAATTATCGGACCATGGACGAGTGAATAAGTGGAGCGGAGGGGCGTTGATGCAAGCCGTTGAGAATATTGCAGGGTAATGCATCTGGTAGTGTAGGAGTACTATGTATGGTGTCTAGAGGGTACGGAGCAATGTATATACATAGACAAAACCCGATTCTCGGGATTACTGATGACCTTGCATAATATACTTTGATTATTTCACATTAGACAAACAAAATACATTCAATTCGATCTCAATTCACTGCTATTGGGTGTTATAATGGAATGGTGATGCTGCGGCAGTGCGACAGGAGGCGGATTTTTCCATTTTCGGCAATCAGACGAACCACGTTTTCTGTCTCTGACTGTCTTCTCCTCTCTACCATCAACCAGAATCTCCCCTCTTTACCATCTCACCACCTTCCATTCGGTCGATAACAAACTGCCTGTAAATTTCCTTTTTATGGATTGACTCGATAAGAAGAAAAAAGAAGCCAGAAAACCAATAAAAAAAGGACGTTCTTCCTCAAGTCACTCTTTGCCCCTCACTCTCCGACCTTCAGACCTTGACCGATTAACCCTCCGCCTGAGCTGCCACTGCCTGCCAGAAAGAAAAGCTTTTGCTTACTTTCAGCTTCTTCGCGCGGAAACGACGATTGATCCTAAGCTGCCCGTTCTCTTGATTCTTTCAACTCTTGATCCTTTTTTATTTCTCCCTGAACGCCATCGACTCCGACATCTCCTCGAAATCCCCTGGTCACCAATGAGAACTTCATAACTTTTGATCCCGATACCTACCTGAATCACTGTAATCCCACATTCCGGCCATTCTCATGGCGCGACGCTACGAGATCGATGAGCTGCTATGGCTGCGCTCATCGCCTCTGGTCACCAAGCCTGCGAGCTTACCGCCGGTAGAAGAATGGATGGGGTAAGGCAAAATCTGTCTCTTTCGTTTGCGATTTTTGTGGTTGTTTAGAAGCTAATTTGCCATTCGTGTCCAGACCACTTCCTGAACGAAAACCCAAAGACCCGAACAATCAGAATGAGACTACGACCAACCGACGACCTAGCATTATCGAAGCCCGTCATCTTACACGAGGTTCGAACTCAGGTAAATACATTGCCCCATTCTCCAACTTTTGTCTTTATACCTGCTCCGTTGGTTCACCCATGGAATTCAAGAACGCCTTTGGCTGACGGGTACAATTCTTACAGAGGACATTATTCTCGGACCACCACGGACGGCCTTCGCTTCCGCATCCCGCATTGCCGGCAAGGGCTCTATAGATGCAACGGAACGGCCGTCTAGAATACCGGACTCGGACGAATCTAAAAATGACCGTTTCAACTTTCGGGACAAGTTTTTCAAAGAACGAGAATCCGGCGATTTTGACAAACGCGATGGAAAACTAGGCATTTTCACCAACCGACGTAATGATAAGGAGGACTGGAATAGTGGGCGCCCACGCCGTGCCTTCGGCCCAGATGACCCTGAACGTAAGCCAAGGCGCAACGGCGATTTCGATCGATGGGAAGGCCGTGATAACACCAGAGAACGTGACCCCCGAGACTCAATAACATTTGGAAACCGTGATAAGGATAGCCGATTTTTCATTCGAAAAGATGGCCAGCCAGGACGGTCGAAACTCGAAGGAAGCTGGTTCCGTGACGAGAGTAATGCGCAGGATGCCCTTGAAGCAGAGGAAGACAAGCCACCAGTTCGCAACCGTGAATGGCGTCGTGACAGACATGGTGCGGATCGTGACTGGACTAGGGGCGCTAAGTTCGAGCAAGATCCTGAGTGGTTAGACTCAACTGATCGAGAAGAGCCCAGGCCGGTGCATACCCAGGAAGACTTTGAACAATGGAAACAGAGGATGAAGGCTGGCTCCGCTCAGGTACAGGAGAAACGAGAGCCCCCATCGGAACCAGCTACCAGCACCTTGCCAAAACTGGAGACAAGACCTACCGATGGTGAAATATTCAGCAGTACTGGCACGCCTCTCCAGGCGGATGCTACGATGGAACGATTCTTTGGATTACTCAATGAAGCGAAGCCTTCCCCGGACATCGGCAATCAGTCGCCTGTTGTGGAGCCAACTAGCAGCAAGAAGGAGGCGATGCCCGCCAAATCTATAAAATCATCTCGCTTTGCCGGCTTGTTCAGTCCACCTCCGGGAACACCGACGAGGGAATCCGAACCTCAGGCTGTAGGCCAGCCTCACGCTGATCCCGACCAGGAAGGGTTTCAACGCATCTTACAGATGCTGGGTGGCGGTGCCAAGTCGCGCAATGGTACTCCCCACAATGATACACCACAGCCTCAACGCCCTCCATCGTTGGTGCAGGCCGAGCAAGGTCGAAGTGCGCTCTCGTCACCGGTTCGTGAGCAGTTCATCCGCCAGGATCAAATGGCCTTCAATGGATCTCCTGCTCGTACAACTGCACCTCCGCCTGGACTCTCACAGCACCCTATCCAGGAACCCTTCAAAGATCCGCATGCCGGTGAACGTGAGCACTTGCTTCGTCTTATGCAGCAAGTTAGGATAAGTCCAGTCCCGAACATGCCCCATGGAAGCCAGGGCCCTCAGAGTGCTGGTCCGGCTCCTGGCATGATGAACATACCTGAAATGATGTCTCATCCCCCGGGATTACCTACCCCGCAGAAGGGTCCCAGTTTCCTAGATGATCCAGCTATTGCCAACATGCAGAGACCAGATGCTGCTGATCAACTTCGGCGTAGACCCGCAAATGGGCCACCCATGGGCTACTTCGATGATATCCTCTTTGCTCAGGGTAACAATGTTCCCATGACTCCTGGCGGAAGCCGGGCTCCGCAAGGCCAGGGCCACCCTGCTATGGGAATTCAAAGGCCACCTGGGTTCGAACATCTGCCGCCTCCTCCTGGATTCGGAGGTCAACAATTTCCACCACAACAGGGTGCACCGGGCCCATTGGCACCTCCGCCAGGTATCCCAACTCCCAACCGAGGCATCAACCCGAATCTCATGTCCAATGCAATGCCAATGCACGGTAACCTTCCTCCCCTTAATGACCGTCAAGGCTTCCCACGTGGAGCTGGCGGCAATGGAGCGGCAGCATTCGGCCCACCACCTGGCATGATGCCCCCTCCGGGATATATGAACATAAATGGTCTACCTCCTTCGGGGTTGCCGCCGATGCCACATAATGCGGAGGCCCTGATGGGACTTGGTGGTGGACAAGGTCCGTTCGGAGGCAATCCTGGTCCTCAGGGCCCGCCGCCATCCTCTAGGCATCTATTGGACATGTTTGGCCAGGCTAACGGTGGTGTTCCCGGACATTTCCGGTAGATTATTACTGAACGGGACGGAGTTCACATTCACGGCATGTTGCCATACTGCGAAGCTCTCTTTCAGATGTCTTTGATGACACCCCTTTGGTCGATGCCGGAGTCTCTTTTCTTTTTCCATGTTCCATCTGATACGCCCTTTAAGTTTGTTGTATCCATTTTTTGCCCTTCTACTTCATACGCATCACGGAGGGGGTGTTGATGATGACCATCAGAGGAGAGTTTTGTTATATGGCTGGTGCCATTCAGCTAGTTATGGATTTGGCACGGACTTACAGGGTGGATTGCTCGCTGTGATTCGACCAAGTGACTTTGCTGACCATTGGAAAGATTGGAGGGGATATGTGGTGATTGATTGATTGATTGGTTGATTGGGAATATCCTTGAAAGCTCGCAATACCCTGCCATGGATCTGTGTCAATCCTGGATGGATGGATAGTTCCAATTCAATCTATTACATGGACCTGGTCTTGTCTTCGGAGCCGTAGACTGTAATCATTTTCATTATTAGGGCAGGTGTGGTTGTCCCTTGTCAGCTGACAGTGAATGCCATTCACTGTCAATCTTGCTACACATACCACTTTTCCATTCCCTCTTTCATATCCTCTCTGCACCGCCCCCCTTTTCTTTTTTTTTTTTTTTTTTTTTTTTTGTTTTTTCATCCAGTATCAATCCCAGCAGTGTTGGTTCAAATTTGTTCTCAATCCCCCTCTCTCAAGGCAAGTAGTGTCAACCCCTCTTCCATCTCCAATCTCTTCCTCCATCAACTTGGCTGGATTGACAACTTGCTGTGTCCCTGTGCGTACATATAAAGAGCAATATTCAGGTAGGACTTCCCTTGCTTTCGTTCCGCTTCCCTCTACTCTCTTCTCTGACCTGACGAGAAAACGAACAACCCAGCTCTCCCCGTCCCACAGACGCAACCAAAGCCTACCGCTATGCCTCGTCCATTTCATCTAGATCCCATATTGAAAGCAAGTTCCGGATACTCTGGCGCACACACATTAACTCAGAGACCATTATTACATTTTTCTGTTCGTTGCTAACTTCTACCTTCGATTACCGACCTACAGCTCACCTACAACCGCATCTTCCGTCCGATCAAAATGATGGAGGAGATCGACTTTGAATTGTGTCTGGGCGTCGAGAAGCATGTGAGTATGATGAAATTTACGCATGCATTGCTCTTTACTGACAGGTTGTTTTAAAGTACCAGGCGGCCATCGCTCATCATGAGAAGATGACCACGTCTTCTGATAACGTGAGCGAAACGACTACACCGAACCTGAAAAGTCCCTGCTTGCACGAGAGACAGATTGATGAACACGAGCAGGGAGGAGACAAAGCATGTGAACGTAAGACAGAGGCAGGAGGTGAACGTTGTGCGCAGTCGAATAAGAGGACCAAGATCTCGGCGTCTGGGAATTGGCGTGAAGGGAATCAGACACGGCCTGTCACGGGAGTTGCTTTGTGCTCTATCGAATCGTCATTTCCTAGCCTGTTCTCGTCCTCTTCTACCGAGACGGTCGACATGTCTATGACTGCGACTGGCCGCGACTCCTCCAACCGCGATGAGAAGGAGCAAGACGAAGAGCGGTCCAACACCTCTTCAACACTGAGCAGCACTTTTGGAAACCTCCACATCCACGAACACGGTGCTCCCCCATCTAGCGAAAGTGGCTTCACCATCTATGAAGACCCAGAGGACAGAGTGATCCGTGACTTTGGCTTCTACCTCCCGGAGCACTGGTACAGGTATCCGGAGGATGATAAGGAGAATACAGATACACTCGACGATGAGGACGAAGACATTAGTACCGAGGAGTTCGAACTGTCCGACGGAGGAGAGGAGACAAATCACCAGCGGGCCCGTCGTCGTCAACACTTTGGTCACTCGCAGGGTACGAGGATGTACTATTATCACGACGTCCATTGGAGCAGCCCAAGCATCTCTGTGGATGATTATATGGACACAGGTGGAGGAGAAATAATGCTTACAGAAAGAAGTCCGCGTAATCACAGTCTTGGTAGCAGGACGGTCTGGTTCAATGAAGATGAGGAACCTTCTTCTTTTCGGGAAGTCAGAGGAGAAGCGGCGGAAACCATGTCGTTTCTTGGGGCTCCTCCGCGGCGGTTCTTGGGTGGACGTCGATAATGCGACGGTTATGGGTTTATAGGGAGTTTGATTTCTGATTTCTGTGATTCACCAGTCTTTGTATGATTTACATTCTATGATTTGCAGGATGATTTGACCAATCTTATCAGCCAGTGAATACCAACGTTTATCGACATCCAGTAGTCACAGTTAGGGGCTAAGCCCGCAGCGCTAATAACTAGCTATCATACAAGAGGTTTCGTTGAAGGAGAGAAGAACGGATGTCCCATCGGACAGTCTTTTATATACAAAACTACGTTATGCGGGGTAGTAGTCAAGTAACCACTCCGATCATTCCTCCGACTAGCATATCATTTATTCTACAGGCGCAGCCTGTGACAGTCACTATATAATGTCCCCCACACTTTGAGTCTTCTACAAAACCCCCCGAGCACCTGGTCTCATCTCCCTTTCGATCGCATTATTATCATCTGCCATCGAAATTAGTATTTCTGTCCTATTACTGCCAAATTAATTGTGAAGGTCTGCGATCATTTGACGGGTTGTAGCTCAGTTCGCTTTAAAACCGAATAATCGAGTTCACAAAAACTTGGAATGTTTGAATGGCAGCAACTCTACCTGCAAACACGCTACGAAAGCCTTCAGGCGCGACAAAGAACCGATAAAAGGGGCTGAGATACTACCAGAAGGAACTGGCTAATGAATATCCAGTCCCGAATTCAATCTGGAGTCATCAGCCATCGCGTGCAGATGGCTATACCAATCAGACTCCAAGACAGAGACAGAACTTGAAAGCAACTGAAAAAGCCTACGCAGTCAATGGATGTCTGTGTTGGAGGACAGTTATGAGTTCGGCCCAGATCGTATAGAGTGTTGAATACTGACTAGTGTGTCTATTAAAACGTGCCGGTGAGCCTGTCGCCACGAGAGACTTTCGCGTCACCCTACAATATTGACCTCTCACATATATAAGAGAGATATGGGTTAGGCTGTTTTGTGACTCGAAGTTGGATTATCTGCACCATTCGTCAATTAACAATTTGGCTTTAGGTGCCAGAAGCGCATAATTTTTGCTCTATATATACGTGCTAATGCCAAGGTCGGTGCGGACTCTTGCACAACTTGGAATTATGCTTTGAGAGTATGTTTGGGATCCTAGCTCTCCATTATCAATGATGAATAATCTAAGCCTAGCATAATAACAAAGAAACATTGGGTCTTCAGCAACACGTAAAAGCAGCCCGAGAGCTTTCATAGATTACAGAGAATGGTCGAAGTTGGTCCTAGATAGCCAGGAACAATTCGATATACCGGAACAAGCAGCGGTATGCACATCTATTCTGGATACTTAGCTTTCACTAGACTCCAACGGGTTTATATCCTGGCTCTATTAGGACGTCGGAGAAAAGGAACATAATGCATACAAATGATCGAGCATTGATTGTTTTGTCATAGAATCAGCGTGGGGCGAGCATAAATTGATTTAGATCAACCATGCATAGTTAGCCCTGGTCAATTGGATCCATTCCAGCCATACTTAACAATTCTCATTACATGGTAATTTGCTGATGCAATTCTAGAACGATGAGGTACAATAACCGAAAGAAAGGCTTAGATGTCTTGGCCGACATTTATGGTTAGCCGCCAGAACCATGCGGTTGAATCAATGTTGTTTTGTCACCTGAAAACCGCATTGGATGCCTGCGCAGACCTTTGTCGGCATATTGGATAACTTTTCCCGGCATTCTTTCTTCTAGGTACGGCGCTCTAAACAGTGAAGATATGGGAACAGCTAGAAACCATTGAGATGTTGGTATAAAAATGGACCGTTCGATTCACGACAGTCTATTTACAAAAAAAAAAAGAAATTCTAGCTGCCCAAATCAATAATAGGTGCTTTTTATACGCTCAGCGATTATATATAGCCTTGCTGGGTATGACCAGAATATCCTACGTGCCAAACCCACGTCTGTTTTCTCATTGTTTCCTCTGGAAATTGTATCGATGATAGACAGAATGCACACCAATTTTTGGTAGTTGATGTCTAGGGTTGACTTTATTAGACACTCCATCCTATGTAGAATCGATATGCTCAAGTGAAGACAATAAGCATTGTACACATTCATATCCATTCATAAATACTAAGATAGATATCAAGGTCAAATAACATTGAACATATCACAACTGGATATCATCACTCATGATCCCTTCCCTTTGCTCCTAATTTCAATAGATAAAACATCCCTCATCGAGTAAACTATGAAATAACTACCATGGCATAATCGAAAACAGAAAAAACAAATAAAAGATATTACATCTCTTCGATAGCGCAGTTGGGATGCAAGACAAAGACGGTCTTATGCGTTTGGTCATCTTGGTTTTGTTCGTCGTCGAGTAGACCTTCTCCGCGGATAGGCATGAGGATGTTATCCTGTGAAAGTTAATACTGATTTGTGAAGAGAAAGACATATTCAATGGAATACTAACCTTGACCATCCGCTTTAAAACCTTAACAGCTAACTCCCGCTCACGCTGCAGATCATCCTCCGTGTTGAGTTCAGCCTCAATCTGCTCCAAGTACCAAACAAGCAACTCCTCCTGCTCAACACCCTCACCAGACATAGACTCATCCTCGTTAACTCTCCGCACGATTAGGTTTAGAATCTTCATATACTTGTCATACGTGATCTTGGTCTTGGGCTTCTGGCGCTGCTGTGCGGGTTGCTCCTGCTGCTCGCCATAATCGCCGTCGCGCATGGGGCTATCGCCTTCCCTATCACCATCGGCCATCTCCTGGTCTTCTTCAAGCTCGGCTGCCGCGACTTGCGCAAGCGCAGCTTCCTCATCGTCATCTTCGACTTCGACATCGTCTTTCTCGACGGTGACGATACTCTGGCGGAGGAGGTTGAAGGCCTCGATGACGAAACTGGGGACGATTTCCTCGACGCAGTTGGCCTTGGCGACGGCTTCAGAGAGACGGATGAGTGATTCCAGTTGACGGACAGTGATACGGTACGAGGAGCGGCCCATTCCACCCTGAGCATCGTTAGCGCGCAGTTCCTTGTACTTTTCGACGAGGACAGCCTTAGCCTCGTCCGTGAAGACAGGTCTGAATGTCCGCGCAAACTGGATGTAGCGCTGGAGCTGCTCGGTGCTGATGGTCGGTGTCACGGCTTCGTCGCGGTTCATGTGCACATTGACAATGTGGTCTGCCAGCTTGCGGTCGACAGCTTCATTAGGTTCGTCGCGGATGACGAAGAACAGATCGAAACGGGACATGATGGGGGCGGAGAAGTTAAGATTGGCGCGGAGAGTGGTTTTGGGGTTGTAGCGGCCACCAACAGGGTTTGCGGCAGCGAGGATTGAGGCGCGGGCATTGAGGGTTGTGTGGATACCGGCTTTAGCGATGGAGATCGTTTGCTGTTCCATTGCTTCGTGGATGGCGACTTGATCGCTGATGTCCATTTTGTCAAATTCGTCGATAGCGCAGATACCGCCACCGTTCTGTATATTATTAGCATCCTGACTATATAGTTCAGAAAACGATGGAACATACAGCAAGCATCAGTGCACCGGCTTCGATGGTGAATTCACCAGTCTCGGCATCCTTCACGACGGAGGCAGTCAAACCAGCAGCAGATGACGCCTTACCACTGGTGTAAACAGCACGGGGGTGTAGCGAACAGATGTATCTGGCGCAAACTATTAGCCACTGCCGCTACAAAAGAAGGATATCGGGGTTGCGTACTTCAAGAATTGGCTCTTACTTGTCGAAGGGTCACCAACGATACATATGTTAAGGTCACCACGGAGCTGCATGTTCTCCTGTTCTGTCGACTTGCCAACACCTCCAATCAGTTGCAGAAGCAAACCCTTCTTGATCTGCGTGTGCCCATAAATCATCGGAGCAATTGATTCAATTAGACGCGAATAGATGTACTCTGAGTGAACGAGTTGCTTCAGATCATCCACCTCCGCTGCACTGATGGTATGAAGGAAAGATTCCTGGGCCATATCGTCTTCTGGATCGGGATCTTTGTGCTGATTAAGAGAGCCCAGGATGTTGTCGGAGTTACCAGTCAATTGCTGGTTTGATTGTTGGCCAGGTGTGCTAGTGTCGGGGGTGATCATGCAGGAAAGGAATGCGAGTCGGTAGGTGAGGTCTCTGACACCCAGTGTCTTTAGACCACTCACACCACCTCCGCCTACTTCGCCAGTACGGTTACTGGTGTCACGAACGGCTTCTGGCCGCACTCCAGGAAGACCAAGCTGGCTGACATCCGGGACCACAATCAATGTACCAGTGAAAATACATCGTTCACCTGCCTTGGCGCGGTCGACCATTTCACCACGCAGAATGATATCCATTGTACGAGGCATGCTACCCGTGGGGATTTCATGCGACGACTCCTGCAATTTCACCTTCTGCCAGTCGACAAACGTACTCTTCGCAATATCCAAACGCCATCCAGAGCGGTTACCGCAGGTACTGTTCGGGCACTCTGTGGGCTCCGTATATCTGAAAGTCTGCTCTACATTGGGGACAACTGATTTGCATTGTTCACATATGAACGTACCCAGCGACAACTCCGGCCGGATTTCGGACGTCCGTGTTACGGTACCAGAGACAGACAGCAATTTACCAATTTGTGACGTTCGAAGTTGCCGTAACCGGGATACCAGGGGCATGTTGTAGAATGCCAGGGAGAACAACTTATCTGTCTGCTGATGCCGGGTCTTGGTGTTAGTTTGATGGCCCAACTTCGGTTGGTTGGGGTCGTTGATGCTCTCGTCGTTTTCGGCCGCGTTCTCTTCCAGATCTCGCATGGACGAACTATTCTGAGATTGCGCGCTAGTTGCTTGACGATGGGAAACATAGTATTCCGGTACATGTTTGGCGATCAGGTTTTGCAAAGCCTTAACCAAGAAAGGCTGGAATCGGTAGTACTGGTTGGCAATCGCATCAGCCAAAATCTGGTTATCTAGTGATGTCAAGTGTGTAAAGTCCACGTAAAGGGTGGACAGTCCCAGTCTTTTCATGCCGTAAATCTGTGCGATATAGTATTTATCGGACATACGAGCGGACGACGGTGGCGGCGCAGTGCTTGAAACCTCCTCAATGTAGGACTCGAGGAATCCCATAAATGCTTGTTGCACTTTCTCGCCCGCCAGATCGGTGACCGGAGGGGGCCCTGGCATGTATGGATTCCGCAGTCGGTTAATCGTCGAACTGTTTGTGCCCACGACCTGGTCATCCGGGAAGCCTTGTGCATCACTCATTGGTCCATTGCTCTCTGACATGAGCTGTGGCCGCGAACTGCCGATCTGATCTGAATGGATTTGTTGAGAGCCGGCTGTTGAGCCCAGCTCGGACTGGATAACGGCATCAAAGAGGGACGACATGGCGGAGCGAGGGATGGACAGGGCCGAGCGAGTGGCCCGTTGAATGGTGTTGAGCGAGATTTATCGATGAGAATCGAGAAAGAGATTCCCCGACTTAGTAATATTTGAAAATGTGTGGGGAGAGAGACAGTGCTGGTGGTGGTGGTGGTCGTCGTCGTTGCGGCGGTGATAATTCGCATTGTCTTTTTCTGGTGGGACGCGTCTAACACGCGAAACGCGTCGGAGAAATGTAAATGCTCACCGACGCGTTAAGTGTTTCCCTTTTTGGGACAAGAAACCAACGTTCTCAGCTTACATCAGCGTTTTCTGCTGCAGGGGGAGATGCTAACCCAAGTTAGGAGTCGCTACCACGGCGTCGGAGTTAGGCACGAGAGGATAGCCGAGGACTAAACCAAACAGGGATAAAGGTCCTTCAAAGCGGCATCCCGGCAACCAAACAGATCCCTTCCCAAGAGGGGTAGTCCCCGGGAATTAGCCAATGACAAGCTCCCATGGCCAGTTTTCTGGGGTCAAAGCTCTCCAGAACCAATTAAAAGCCTGCATCAGAACAAATAGACTTTCGGAGCGGCACTCATGGAGGTCTTGAGACCCACAACCGCCGTGAGGGTTAATTAATCTTCAGAATCATCCCCAAATAGGGTCATCCCCATGTTCAGCTACGTATCCTGTCAGAACCCAAACAACTACTCTATTCGCTTGATTACTGTTTTCAGGCTATGAAGGATTGCTGACCTCATAGTTTATCGCTCCTGTCTGTGGATTGACTGTGTTCTATCTCTGCAATGACAGCGCTGCACAGATCGGCCGTCTTGCTGGAGGAGTTTTGCTGATCTCATTTATCCATTTGACTCGATATGCCGCAGTAACGAGGCACTGGATTGAACTTTCGCATTATCTTTCTTTCTCGTGATGTCTTCAGAGAGATGTTCTTCTCATTCAACATATTCCCCACCGAGTCTTGCACAACATGAAACCCCCTCTGAATTGCTGGAGCACCAACAAAAGCGGCAGCGACAACAACAGCAGCGTAAGTACCCCAACTGGTCCAACTGGTCCAACTGATCTGGTAGTTAGTTACACACTGACAACTGGCATCGTAACACTCAGAACCCCGCAGCGATGACCCTGAATCTCCGATGAAACCGAAGCGACGACGGCGTTTACCAACGACCGACGATGGGCCACCCAAGAACCAGATATTCTATTTTGTTGACTCGAACTCCTCATCGCGGGAGAAACGGGCTCACGTAATGCGGCACCATGTCCAGGAGAAACGGCGACAGCGCAAGGCTTCGAATGCAGACAGCGACAGCGACAAGATGTTGAGCCAGGGCGTCCGTTATGTCCCTTGGCAGGACCATGCATTAGAGCACGGGGACCACAGACTGGATGCAACTCAAGACGGTGGAATCAATGGGTTCTCTTCTGGCAGTAGCTCAGTGGTATGCGATAGGTACTAATTGGCTACAAAGAAGAATACTGACAACTTCCAGTTTCGAGCAGGATACCCACCTTTGAAACCGTCTTCCCATTCTCTTGCTCATGTCCAGTCGACTTTACCTGTTTATGATATGCCTAGGAAAGAGTCCATTAGCAATCTACCAGTGGGCTTGAGCCGAGAGGATCTGGAGCTAGCAGATTTCTGGAATACCAGATTGACTTACTGGTCGGGGCAGAACAAGCACATGAAAGACCATATTTTTCGAACCGCCATGGGCCATCCTTTGGCTTTCCAGGCGGTCATTTTAACATATTGCGCGCGATGGAAAGCCCAACTCTACAATTTACCAGAAGGCTTTGAAGTGCAGCGTCATATCGGACAGGCTGCGCGCGGAGTCGAAGAGGCCCTCGCGGGGATTTTACCTATTCACGAGGATCATCTCGCCATGGCATTGACCGGGATGGCTTTACAGGAAGAAAGATTCGGGCAGAAATCGATTGCCCGCACATATATCGACCGGGCGGTTCAGATTCTTCGATCACGGGCGGGATCCAACAATACGGTTGAAGTATTTCTACACTACGTGCGATATATCATGACACCCCCGAATCCTGGTTATGGTATCGACTCGGACGGGAAACAATGGCTATTGACCTTCCTACGAGGAGCGGAAGAATTGATGCGGGAACACAACACCCTGGCGTATCTATCAGTGGTCCCGCAACGACGCGAGGCCTTCCAAATGGACAGTCCCCTATTCCCATTACTATCTAGTGGACCTCGTCCATCACAGGTGCCCATAGAAGCGCGCATGTATGTGGTGAAGGAAGCGCCAACACAGGAGATTACGCGGACAGCTGCCTTGATCTACATAACAGCAGCCTTGTGGGATTTTCAAGATTCGCCGAGTAAAATGAGACGATTCCTTAGCCAAGCGGTGACCATGGCGCACGAACACGCCCTTGACCGGTCCCAAGCGTGCGAGACGCTTGTATGGCTGCTGTTGGAGGAACGGTGGGACGCGGACCTGCGCGATGCGGAACGAGGTTGGTCGACAGGGGAGTTGCTCAAAACGCACAAGCAATTGCGACCCGATTTACAGTTTCAGTTTACCGAGATCCTGATGAGTTTTTTGATGATGACCCCGCCGATAAGGGGGATCAATATGTTTGCAGAGGAGCTAAACAGTTGAAATTTTACGGTAATTTTCTTGGTTCATTATCGTTCCTGAAAATTCAATTCGCCATGTGCATAATCTAAACGTAATATGAAATAATAGAAAACCATGGATCAAGCAGATTTCATATCGAACACATGGTTTTGTCGCTTGGTTGACAAAACTAGGCAAAAACGAACCATGGCTCTCTGGAGGAGGAATATACGACGCTCGCATGGCATTTCCACTAATGTGGTTTAGGCATAGTGGGCACGTGTTGTCTAGGTTTCATTGGTTGTCTCAAAATTTGAAATGAACCGCTAACTTTGCCAATAACCAATCATAATTAACCCAGCTTGAATGCTGATCTCTAGCGCCACATCATCATCGACGCTATTGTCAGACTATTTTAGGCGATCAAATTCTGTCTGACGGTAATTACGTATCATTGCATATGGTTTATTTGAGACAGCTGAGGCGCTTATTTTGTAATCGAGAGTACTCTGTACATTTATATTATTGTTTCTTTACAGAGTAGTAAAGCAAACATTGCAGTACTATGTAGTAGAAAGGGGTAGGAATGTAAAGCAATATGAATTCATTCTGACGTATGTTGTGGCTGGAATGCTGAAACGCGGTCGGACTTCACCGTCATAACAATGCATGCTAGGAACACGCCACAGTGGCACCGCCACAGGACGTGTTCCGTGGGATCGGCCCTGCAAGTATGATGTTTAATATTTCTTTTTTCTTACCGTATTTTTGAAACTGTAAACTCTGTGGCTGCCCCTCGATCGAGATCTGTCACATGTCCCGTGATTTCTGATCTCCGCCTCGTGATTTTTCCTCATTTCTTACTTTCTCTCATATTCTTTTCTGCTTATTGTTATTCAGTCCCTTTTCCCTGGTCAGTTCCTGTCTCATTTCATCTGTTGACGGGCATCTGGGTTGTCATTTCGGGTACCTGTACTCTGTACCGTCACGGCTTTCGTCACATGTTTTAACCCCTTTTCAATCCATCCTCTTATCTAAGTAAGAGACCACGACTTCCAGGCTTTCCTAACCAGGACAAACTGAGTCGTGGCCATTATGGATATTTACGGTGTAGGCCGTCGTGGCCTTCATCAAATGGTCGCTCGAGCTGTAAGTCATTCCATAATGCTACTATCACTCAATTCCACGGCTGTGTTAATAGGGCAAGACTCACAATCTGTCGCTATAGGATAATAATTCCAATTCAGCCACCGGTCTAGTCTGGGTCCTAGTTCCCTCATTGATTTCTGCAGTGGCTATGGCTCTCGTTTTCATCATTCTGCGGCGGAGTGAGCGCCGCATGTATATGCCTCGGACGTACGTGGGTAGTTTGCGTCCCTCCGAGCGCACGCCTTCCTCCCCCACCGGTCTGCTGAATTGGGTCAAGTCCATGTACAAGCTGCCTGACGAATATGTGTTGCAACATCACTCCATGGACGCTTATTTGCTGCTGCGCTTCCTCAAGTTGATCACTATTATCGCCTTTGTCGGCTGTTGCATGACATTCCCAGTCTTGTGGCCCGTCAATGCTACCGGTGGTGGAGGAGGGCAGCAATTCGATATGCTGAGCATTGCCAACATCTCCCACCAGTATGGTCGTTACTTTGCGCACGCCTTCATTGCCTGGTTCTTTGTGATGTTCATCTACTTCACTATCACTCGCGAATACATCTTCTACATCAACCTTCGTCAGGCCTATTCTTTGTCCCCGGCCTATGCCAACCGTCTTTCCTCACGCACTGTACTCTTCACTGCCGTCACCGAAGACTACCTAAACCGCGACAAGATTCGCCAGATCTTCGGTCCGGAAAAGGTGAAGAATGTCTGGCTCAGTACGGACGTGAGTGAGCTGGAGGAGAAAGTGAGTGAGCGCGAGGATGCGGCCATGAAACTTGAAGCCGCTGAAACCAAACTCATTACCCTGGCCAATAAAGCTCGTGCCAAAGAGCTTAAGAAGCAGCAGAAGCAGGGCAACACCGAGGAGACTCTTGAGATTGAATCCGGCGGCGTTGACTTTGAAGAATCGGGCTCCGTTGCTGCACGCTGGGGCGTCAAACAAGCCGACAGACCCACGCACCGCCTCAAGATGTTGATTGGAAAGAAAGTGGATACTATCAACTGGGCAAGAGAGGAGATTGAACGCCTCACTCCGGAGATTGATGAGCTGCAAGCCAAACACCGTGCTGGCGATGCTAAATTGGTTACTTCTGTGTTTGTTGAGTTCTACGTTCAGTCCGATGCTCAAGGTGCTTACCAGTCCGGTATGTCGTCTACTCCCAAGAATTGTAAGAACCACGTTGCTGATTTCTTGTAATAGTTGCTCACAACCTGCCTCTCCATATGGCCCCGAGGTACATTGGTCTCGATCCTACCCAGGTCATTTGGTCCAACTTGCGCATCAAGTGGTGGGAGCGGATTATCCGTTACACGGTCACGGTTGGATTCATCACCGCCTTGATTGTCTTCTGGGCCATCCCCACAGCCGTGGTCGGTGCCATCTCCAACATCGATTACTTGATAGAGAACGTGTTTTTCCTTGCATGGCTCGGCGATTTGCCACAATGGATCAAGGGTGTGATTACTGGTCTTCTCCCGACTGTCGCCATGTCTATTTGGATTTCGTTGGTCCCAGTTATAATGCGCTTCATGGCCAAGCTGGGCGGTGCCCCCAGTCAAGCGGCGGTTGAGCTAACCACGCAGAATTCCTATTTTGCATTCCAGGTGATCCAGGTGTTCTTGGTCGTGACGATAACTTCCTCCGCTTCAAGTGCGGCTGGCCAGATCGTTCAGCGACCAGCCGAAGCGGCCAGTCTGCTGGCCGCTAACCTTCCCAAGTCGTCTAACTTTTACATCTCGTACATTGTTCTGCAAGGGTTGTCCTTTAGCTCTGGCGCTTTGTTGCAAATTGGTGGTTTGATCGTGGGCAAGATTTTGGGCAAGTTGCTGGACACCACACCCCGTAAGATGTACACTCGTTGGTCGTCTCTGGCTGGCCTGGGCTGGGGTACCGTCTATCCCGCGGTCACCCTCTTGGCTGTCATTGGTAAGCTCTGTCCCTGCTTCACTCGCCAGATGAAGATCCTTTGATTGGCTAACTTGCCATAGCCATCACATACTCCTGCATCGCACCCCTGGTTATGGGATTCGCTACGATTGGCTTCTATCTTTTCTATTTTGCCTACCGCTACAACATGCTGTACGTGTCTAATGCCGATATCGACACGCAGGGTAAGGCGTATGTTCGTGCTTTGCAGCATCTCACGGTGGGCTGCTATCTGCTGGTTGTCTGCTTGATCGGCTTGTTCGCCATCGGAACCGCAGACGATCAAATCGCTCTTGGACCTCTGATCCTGATGGTCATTCTTCTTATCTTCATGATCTTGTACCACATGTCTCTCAATAAGGCAATGGAGCCTCTCGTCAACTACCTGCCCAAGAACCTGGAGGCTGAGGAGCAGAGTCTCCTTTCTCCCAGTGAACAATCGACCTCCATGAACAGCAATGGAGCAGTGGACGGCGATTCCGCCGAAAAGGCCATTTCGCCTACCATCGTGTCTGATGAAAAGCCCGTCAACTTTCTCTCCCGCTACTTGCGTCCCGACAAGTATGACAGCTACTACCAGTTGCGCCAGTGGGCGCCTAAAGCTGACGACCTCCCTCCGTATACCCCTAATACCGAGGAAAACGCCTATTATCACCCGTGTATCAACGCCAAGGCTCCTCTTCTCTGGATCCCTCGTGATCCTCTTGGTATCAGTAAGCAGGAGGTCGCACACACGAGCAAGGTGATTTCAATTACGGATGAGGATGCTTGGCTTGACGAGAAGAACGCTCTCCAGTGGGACGTTGACAAGGGTGCTCCTCCGATCTATAAGGAGAAAATTTACTATTAAGCGGACGCATTGCGTTGTGTCTGTTTACGAAAAGGGGGGTTGTCTGATGTGGTTTGACTTTCGTTATGTCTTCTTGATACCCTGTTATCAGTCATGTCAAATCGACTGGCTCTTTGGATCATCTAAAAGATCTAAATATATAATGTTTTTTACTCTTCTCGTACTGCTCATGATCAGTCGAATGTGGCATGTTTGTTCGTCGATGTCGATAACAGTGTTTTATGACTTTGATCATGTGTGTTTAATATGACTTTCACTTTTTCCACCCTCAACGCGTGACATGATGAATTAGAACCCTACAGCCTACCCAAAATCTAAGCCTTCAACTTCTTCTCAAGCTCTGAATTGCATCGCACCGATTAAACTGCAGCGATGGTTTCTGAAAACTTTCCCATTTAATACCATAAATCTAACATTCTCACTTCCGGATTTCCGAGCGAGGACAAAGAGGTCGTTGCCGCTCAAAATGCCGTCTACAAAAAAAGCATGCCCTCACCTTCTACTACGAGAACGACGCCACAAATATCGAAGAGGAGGTAAACTCCCTCATAAACAGTCTGCACGATATCTTCGACTTCACAGTCATCATGCTGAAGCTGAAAAGCGACGAGACGTCAAGCCAAACCTTGAGGGCAAAAAAAAAAAAGAAAAAATATCGACAGAATCTTCGAATTGATCGGTCCCTATGACAATGACCAAAACAAACGATCGCTTCCGATTCTTTCATACATTGAAGTCACAATTAGCGAAGAAAATCGCGGGCTGTTTAACATGAGGAACGGGGTTTACGAACAAACCATACGGTGGAAAAACATTAAAAGTCAGCTCTTTACCGATTCACCGACTATGAGCCAAATTGATACCTTGGCAATTCTTGATTGCTGTTATCCACCCAAGATTACGGACAAAATAACGGCGCGAAATTGCCAGCTCATGGTGGGTGCATATTCGAAGATATGGCCATTTACACAGCGTTTCTTGAAGGCTGCTCAACAGTTGCAATAACGATCTACAATTTGGACGGCAATATCTGCTTTTTTCAATGGAATATAGAACCAGGAGCCGCGTGGTATCTGGGCTTTGTGATTTCTCTGGGCTGGTGGTGGCGGTTTTATTTACTTGCCAGTCAAGCAACGGGTTGGACTCGACAGCCTTCCCATGCCGGGCAGGGCTGAAGTCAACCTCACATTAAGCTTGACTTACTATGAGCAGTCAGGTATTGAGTCAGTGAAGGGGTTGGTGACGTTCTTATCTGAGAGAATTCCGCGCAGGTTGGTTGAAGAGCAAGGGGTTGATCTGCGTGTCACGTTGGTCTCGGAATCCTCGACGGCTGCCCTGTGCCAGAAAGCACAGAGGATATCTCCTGAGCCCGCCAGGCCCTATTTAGTGAACGTTTCGAGAGTGCAATCCTTCCAAAATGTCTTGTGGATGCTGTTCACGCGCTACGACAAAGGAGTGGAGCCTGGATAACTGTCGATGATTTGCTTGGGGAGCTTCATTAGCAGGGATCATACGGCAATTAGAGTGTAATGCTTTTTCAGCTCGGCGGCAACAAATTCGTTCCGTTTGTATTCAAATACCCATCAATGTCGAGCAACCTCCAGGCTGAAATCGACTGTGTTCACCCACATGGGGGTGGATTCGAAGCTGTTCTTAAAGTCACAATACTTCGAGACAACCCATCGGCCATCGAAGAGCTTGGGAAATGGGTAACATCTACGCCACCAGGACCTAGGACTAGGATTATCAATGAGGGTGGTGTCAAGCTGGATTTGAGTTGAATACTGTCTCGTTATATATCCACGTCGTGGCTTCAAACATTAAATAGACAGGTTTTGCTTGAAAGACTATTTTGACAAAGGATGCGTTGCTATAATACTGCTGTTTTTTGTACGCGTGTATTTGACTGGATTTAGAATTGGGCTATCAGTGAGTTATCATGGCCTCCAAGGCTGCTAGCAATGAATTTTAGTTATAGATGAAACTTATGTTATGACCACCCAATAATTATGCCATATATTCTTGAATCCGTTGAGCAATTTACTAGCAATCTAGCAAGTAATCAGCCATATCAGACTCTAATCCTTACGTACATGATTACCTCGCCGACACAAAAACGCAATCATCGCAATAACCACCAACTGGGCTAATGTAGTCGCCAAGTTCGAGATAAATCCTTTTCGAAAGTTAGGTGCATCAACAGCTGGATACTGCAGTAGCTGGGTCCACGCCGACATGGCCTGCCCGATTGCATTCATACTGGCTGTAACAATGGCTCGTTCTTCGGCGTCGTTGGCCATGACCACCGTTGCCCAGCTCATCGTTAACGGACTCATCGCTGTTCAATCAGTATTGTCCATAAAAACGAATAAGAGAACGTACCACCCTCAGAACCAGTCAGAATAAACCCAGTCAACCTCCCAGCCTCCCCAATATCCCACACAACCAGCAATACCAGCCCCACAAGCACCGGCATCGTAGCCACAACACATGGAACCCAAAAATTAGCAGCCCGATCAACAGCCACTCCTGCAATCAACGCAGCCACAATCGAAACTGCCGTCGCGATAGTCGGTAACGTATTGATCCTCGACACGGAGTATATATCCGGCTTTGCCTTGAGATACAAGCTAAATGGCGTCGAAGAGGCGAGGAAATTCTGATCGACGAGGATCCATTGCGCGACGAATACGTACCAATGCCAGCGTCCGAAGACACGTTTGAAAATGTCCCGGGAGACTTTTAGTTGGCTTGGACTGGTGAATTCCGCTACGCGCGCATTGGAGAGGATGTGTTCTTCCTCGGTAAGGAAGCGAGGTTTGCTATGGTGAGGGACGTCGGGGAAGGCGATGTACCCTCTATACTATGATTAGTATTTTGCATTTTGTACGATAAGGTTATGAGGATCCTGCTTATTATTGTATTATAGGACGTACAGAATGCAAATCGGAATCGTGATTATCGTGCATATCACAAATAACCACCTGTTCATTAGCCATACATTTACCCCGTAGTACCTAGTTATCAGGAAACATACCTCCATCCCTCCAGCCCATGCACATTCTCCAGATTGGTATAAGCAGCCGCCTGTAAATACCCGGCAAACATCGTTCCCAACGGTGAGGCAATAAAAAACAGCGAAACTCGGCGTCCAATCTCTTTTGGTTTATACCATGACCCAATAACATAAATGATGCCTGTAAACGAGCACGACTCGCAGATTCCAATGAACACGCGCATGGCGTAGATGGTGTTGAGATTCTGTGCCCAGGCACAGCCAAACGTGAATAGTCCCCACCCTACTTCCAGCGTGGGGAGCACGATGTTGATTCGGCTGCGGGTGAGATAGTAGCAAGCGGGGATCATGGAGATGCAGTAGGCAGCCCAGAAGGCGATTGTTATATAGTTTATGTCATTTCCGGTTAGTTGCATGTCCTCTTTCATTCCTCTATATACATGTTAGTATGGATATTCCCAGTTATGATTTGATTTGGGACTTACGAAACGTAAGCATTGGTGATAGCTTGTTGGTCGAGGTATTTGGTGAAAAATGACAAACAGCCAAAGGTCAAAATCAAAATGTCTAATTTCAGGACCAGTTTTTTTTCTGCATGGCTCATGTCCTTCGGATACCATTGTAGAAATGTAAGGAAGCGAATCCATAGTCCATCCTTATCATCAATTGAGAAGACTTCAGTATTTGCAACATTTTTTGACCCCATTTTCGATTTATTTTTGTTGTAATAATGCAGACGTCGATTTATTAATTTATACCGGTGCATTATGCTGTTATCAGTGGGATCAAATTGTGTCATTGTAGTGGCCGTGGTGTAATACCCCTCGTCGAATTAAGGTCAATTCAGCACTAACATTATACCATTGTCTAGATGTGTCTATTGACTACCTAAATGTTGCAATTAATAAAATCCTAGCATATATATAGGTGGTAGATATCAAGAATTATGGAATAAACAAACTCTCACAATGCCCTGCAATATTAACTCAGATTTGTATTTTTCGGAACAGCAGGATCGTTGCACTAAGAAATAGTCCATTGAACTCCTTATTAAGCACGGTGATTCCGCTTGTTTCACTTCGATCTCTTCCTTGAATGTGTTTGACTTCTAAAAGCAATCCAGCGTATGTCATATAGAGGAGCTATGTACGTAGAGGCTTGGCCTTTCCTATGACCTCGGGGTTAGATGGACTGATCATAGGCAACAGTGACACGTGACGGTGAGGCCTAGCCCAGAGTAGAACCTCCAGCAACCCTCGTCTCTTGACCCCCATCAACTCTCTTTCATCCTTTCTTACCCCAGCATAACGTTGGTAGCTTGAACAACTCAGTCTTTCATAAGATTCTCACGCTATCATTATCAAAGTTACGGTGTATACTGACTAACCTCGAAGACTCTAGTTAGCCCTCTTCTGTTTAGCCATGACAGCCCCTTCAGAGACACGCGAACTCCCTCATTTCAGGTCTCATGTCACGAAAGCCACCGCTGCTCGAGAGCACTCATATAAGCACAAGCACGCGATTCTCTTGTTTTATGAGGAGAATGGTAAGGATGATGAAAATGAGGCTGAAGCCCTCAGTAGCTGTCTGCAAGAGTTTTTTGGCATCACTGCCACTATTCTCAAGATAGCAAGAGACGACATGACACCCGCTGAGACGTTGCAGCATACCATCAACCAGACTATCGACACGACTGGCCCCTGTGGTGACGACTATGAACGGTCGTTGATCATCATCGCGTATATTGGAGAAGCTGTGGTGGATGATGGGCACGTATTGTTTTCGACGTTCACCTTCCAACAGGCAATGTTCTGGGATACTATTCGAGAGGCTCTTTTCACCGAAAATGAGAGACTCAGCCACATCGACGCACTGGGGCTCATCGATTGCTGCAATGTCCCTGAGACTACAGTGCAGACTTCGCGAAAGTGCCAGGTCCTCGCATACCCGCGTTCAGGTTCAGGAGTTACGCTCACACGGCAGCTTACAGATGCTGCACGTCTTCTGCAACAGCGGGGATCAGCATGGACGACAGTCAACTCTTTGTTTGAGGAAATGCAGCGTCATGACTCAAAGCCCTGCAACTATGCTTCGAAAATGGCCCTGCATCAGATTAGTGGTGATAAGCCTATCTCTTTGCGGTTCAAACAACTCTGGTGATAGAGTTCTAGGAAGAACTTGATGGTGTGCAAGGAGGCAAGCTTGAGGGTGCTTTTTTTGAATCACCATGCCAAACGAGGATCCGATGCACATGCAGCGACTGAAAAAAATGGGCAGCGGCCGTGCCTGCGAGTGTGCGGTCAGTATCATCGACAAGGACGAAAAGGTATTTTAGGGCTAGATGCTGTTTATTGCTATCGGTTATGTCTTTTGTACGAACGTGGTCTTGAATGGCCCGCGAGGTTTTACTTGGAATGACTAGGTCGACCAATTACTGACAAGGGTGCTGTTTCTATACTGGTGCTTGATAGTTGCATGTCCTTATTAGCTAAGACTAATCCAACTGATTCTGTTCTATGCGACCGGCTTGAATTGCGTGCAGCACGGGTGGGAGAATCCGCCAGATTTCCGACTCACATGTACAAAAACAATCAAAGCAAAAAACTATGAACCCTTTCTGGCATGCAATTTATGACGAAAAGGTTGAAAAAAAAGAGAAAAAGAAAGGTCCTGCCCGGGATCGAACCGGGATCGTTGGAATCAGAATCCAAAGTGATAACCATTACACTACAGAACCAATTGTTGGTTTAAGGCGGGAATTACTTAAAATATAATATAATTTAAGTGTATAGCACTTTGTAACGATTCAAGAACACTGCGTTCCACGAAATCTAGGCTTCGGTAACTACTTAATGATATCCTTTGGCCGCAGGCAGGATCCTTCCTTCTTCCTCAACTCATTATTAAACTTAAGCTGAGCCGATCTATATCGTCGATCACCCAAACGCGCGTCGTGAAAACCCCGATGGTAGCATACAACCTCTCAAGCTCCAGGCACAATAACGACCAGTCAAGCTCAAGTTCATTGACGTCATCCAAGAGGCCCAATAGGCATTAGCAGACCGACACCAGTACCGATCCGGCATGGGAACCTCAATAAACATGCGATTTGACCATAAAAGCCATGCCTAGCACGCCGCATAATTCTCGGCGGGTGTGATTCAGAATACGATGGTCATGACTCATGAGTTCAGGAATGAGGTCGACATCCTGCCCATCTCTCCGTCTGCTATCCATGTTCAATGGATATTCTAGTGCTCAACTCTTGTGCAAGAGCTGCGCCAGACCAGATATCGCATGTAGAAACCAATTCTTACAACATCTTTGGAGAAACATCGCTGTTACGAAGACAAGGATCGCAACTTTACCCACAGCCGGCGTCGCTTGATGAATGTGGGAATGCAACTCAAGCCAATGCCAGCTTGACAAACTGCTAGGTGTGGAATAGAACCGTGACATTTTTTTGAGAGTAAGTCTGCTAGTGATACAGAAGGCAGGGGCCATGGCCCTCAATTGGGTGTTACTGGAAGGGATTCCGGCGGTTGCAGCAATAAACCAACACCTTGGAAGACCCAGTGAGCCTAGTATACGCAGTCGAACAGTTAGTTTTTATATCTTCTAATATACAAACTGGCACACCCTATTTCAAACCCGAACATAGCTACTTTTTATCCCTCGAAACATTCTCCTACGAGACGTAGTGAGATAGAAAGGGGTGCATTTTCCTTCTTCGCTATGGAGGGAAGTGAAAAAAGTGAAATTAGCACATGTGCTTCCCCTTTTTGAATCCTAACTAATCTGTCCGTGATAACTCTCAACGTTACCAATTCTTCTGTTGTGAGACCCCCGGTGGCTGACTGCTAAGGTCAGTACAAGAAATGTTTGGAAGATCAAGCATTCGTGGAATTGCAGGACCCGATTCCTTGTTCTAGCTGGCCTTTTCGAAAAGGCCCTAAAGCCAAAAAGAAGCCAAGAGCCTAAGGATTGTCTTCGGCATCCCAACAAGAACCTCACAGCATGAAAGGATGTCCGCTCCAATCACCCCTATCAAGGGTTCAGGTTACACACAGTATCCCAGCATCGCTTTCAGGCCCAAAGTGACAGTGCACCTTACCAAATTGACCATCCCAAGGCTGTAAAGCCCATAAAAATGTCCCCGCCGTTGATTTCTACAATGCTTGCAACATCAGATTAAACGGAAATCTCAATTCCTATAAACTCAAAAGTAGGGCATACGAGTCAAAGCATTCATTACATGAAAACCAACCTAGCTCTCCATTCCCTACAGCAGCTTTTCGCGAAACACCGCGAAGAACTGCAAGACTTGTGCACCTGCATCAATGTCGGTAGGACTACCAAACGAAGTTCTCGAGGATCCCAAGCAAGGAGTAAAAGACTGCTCTGATCACGAGAAAGGCCCAGCAGGAGCTAGATGCAGACCCAAGCACCACCTTGTGCCAGCGTGTCACACCTACACATTTGCGGGCGCCTACGGTATGCGCACCACGATCGACCGTTCTCAGGAGCTCTTGGGATATTCGCACACGCCCACGACCTTTCTGCCTTTCTAGCCAAACAGAATTCTAGGATACGGATGGGGATACATCACGATGTTGTATTCCCTAGTTACTTGATGACTTAGGGCTGTATTATATCTCTTTTTAGGTTAGAGTCATGTGATACATTCCGGAATATTACACGCATTCTTTCGCTCAACGAGAATAACCAACATATCTTATTCTCTTCGACGGAGCACAGAGTATAGCAGAGGAAAACGCAATGCACTGGCAACTGTACTCCGTACAACCGTTGCAGAACCCCTCCGTAGTGAAGATCGCTGTCAATGTTGAACCCCGACATCCATTACTCCGTAGATACTCCGTCCGTACACTCAAACCTACAAGCACAATTAAACGCCGCCAATCCCCGGAAAACATCTCCGACCCCTCAAACCAACCCCAACCTTCCACGCTCATCCTAATATATTAACCTTAGCATTCTCGGCCATAAACGGCGCAACAAACAACCAGCGGCAGGCAGATCCTGCCTAAGAAAGAACAATACACGAAACACTGAAAACAACCCCACATGGTGTGCATTAGCGTCCGATCGGAAAGGATCCGCATCCGGGCGGCCGAGGGCTAGTGGTAATTTTGTTAACCAAGGAGGACAGGGATCACGGGGATTACAGCGGGGCCGGTATTCCGCAAGTACTCCGTAACCCTCTGATACAGTGGGACCCACGGTGGATTGCTGTTTTGGGTGGTGTACAGGTTGGTACGAGTCAGTGTAGGGAGGTAAGTTTAGTTGAGGAGATTTGTAGAGGATAGGAAGTACTTGTATATACTCTGATTGTTTGGTAATTGTTGGTAAGTACTTTCATGATAATAGAGAACGCCGTCCATGCCGAAACCATGCTCCAGTAAAAACAAACAAATAATGCCAATGATAAAAAAGAAATACCGAAGGAATATCGAAAATAGGTCCGATGGTGATAATCGGAAATGACAGAAGGAATAATCGTAGATTTCATGGCTTCTGGATAACCACGTGGTAAACGCAAAATCGCTCGCTCAATAACATCACAGGAAGACAACGACAGGATATCAGGAGGATCACACTGGTGCACGCCCCATGCGGGCCATCCGGTTCGCCCGGAATGCCCTCAGGTCAATTGGTTCCATAGACGCTGAAGTGTCATCATCGACTTCGATAGCCCCGGTCGCAGCCCCGTTTGGTGAGGTGGGCTTGAGCTTCTCACTCGGCTCGATCGCGGATATAGAGGTTGGTAACTGGGGTTCTATCGTTGTTTCCTCCTTCTCCGGCTCTGGTGGTGCCTGTTCTTGTTCCTCCTTCAGTCGTCGCACTTCAACGCTAGACATATCAAGCAGCATCTTGAACTTCTCATCCACACTACTTAGTTCCGATTTGCAGTCACCCGAACGGAGGAACTGGTAGGCAGCCGACTCACACAAGCCGTGAGCTACTTCCAGTTGCTTGTCGGCAAGATCGAATGCAGCGCTCTCCTTCTGTGGCACTGGAGGCCCTCGATTCCGTGCACTGCGAATGCTGGACAATACTGCATCTGGCGGACCGCGGCCGGGCATAGAAGGTATACCTTGTCGGAAGCCCATACGTGGAAGCTGAGACATCCGCCCTCGTCGGATGTTGTTCCTGGCCGTTACAATATTTCGAACCATGTTCTCCAAAACCTCCTGCGTGTGACCGTCGTAGTGGATTATAAGGTTGTGTCTGGTGCTGACGAGAGATGCTGTTGGATCCTCGAAGCTCGGGGCGTCATCATCGTCCGTCCTTCTCTTTCGGGAGTACTCGTTAGACCCATTCTGTGCGCAAGACGCCGGATCTTGGTTCTGGTCTGCAACACCGGTGGTAGGAGTGTCGGGAACCTGAGTCGAAGGGAGTATATCTTCCGTGTGGATGGAGCAAACAGAGCTGTTCTTGCGCCGACGTCTAGGCTTGCCTGCTATTGTCGCGTGTTTCTTATAAGCTTCTGCGTATTCGGCATTTTTGGCAGCGGTGTATGCAGCCAGGTCGGTAATATGAGTGATCCAGGTTGGTAGGTTATCGGACATGTAGGAGAAAGCCCCGAGGGCATCCATGGGACCGGCGGGCATCGCAGGCGTACTCGGGCTGAAGAATAGGGCGAAAATTCGAGATTTAAGAACCGATTCAATCAAGTATAAGATAGAATGCAAAATGAATAAAGTCTATAATAGCAGTTCAATGGTTTGAAAAGAATCGAGTCGTGCCGTCGTGAGTCGTTAGGAAAGGGAGATGGTAGTACTGTGGCGGCGTTTCGGGTTCTAATTGATCTCCATGGGGGAAGGTGGAGAGAACAGCGAGCTTGAAACCGGGATTGTCAGAGGGCTTGCCAAATAATAAGGAGTGAATGTATTTGGAATCAAACAACAACAACAACAACAAAGAGGAATCCCAAAATTGACATGGACAGACAAAGTTCACAGATCATTAACAGAGAGAAGGAAAGTGACAGGGAAAAAAAAGGATGACAGCAGAAAAAAGACAAAAATGGAGCCGGAGAGGAGAAAAAAAAGAACGGAGTCCACAGCGCCAACAGAAGCCCGAATGGTCCCCGATGCACGTCGTACCGTATCATTACCGGGATTACTACCCTCCCGTCCAATGAAAAGTACTTCCGACTCATTTCCGATATGTAGTCAAGTCACTTGCATCTCATTGGTTGTAACGTGCGTCCACTTGCAGGTTGTCTGCATGTACTTGTACTTACAGAGTAATCCTATTAATGTCGCAGCCAAACTGTCTTGCATCGTAGCATTTTTGAATTGAATTCTCATTGGTAGACCTTTCGGCTATCAGCACAGTACGGAGCAGTAGAAAGACGTTGAACAAGCGGTGTGAGTCCTCGTGCTGCATGTACAGCACAAGTTTGTATACAGAGCGCGGAGTTTTGATCTTATCAAATTCTTTTACAAACAAGCTCATTATGTGTACTCTGGAGTAACTGCGCTGGCACTTCATTATATACAAATACTTGTACAGAAAAGTATTTGTACGCCACCAATGAAGATCCTGAGCACTGTCAAGCATGACCATTGATGGATAGCAGTTGAATAGAGTTAGAATTTGGATTTGAGCGTTGCTTCAATATAAGATGCTTACTTTGTGATCATGTTTCGATTCTTGTTTGCTTTATAGGTCACTACCAGCCTAGAGCCTAATAGTATATGCTCGACTCTATGTTTAGCATGCAGCAATCAAGACATGACAAATGAGAATAACACGGTGGTAATATATAATACAATCAATACCACGCACATGGCCGGGTGGGCTGATCGCCGGACGGCTTTCCGCCCGGCATCTCCACCCACCGGGCTTGGCAAGGGCTCCTTGAAAGATACGCATAATACGGCGAGCTTTCCCCGAATGCTACTCCTTCATTCAAAAAAAAAAAAAAAATATATATATATATATATATATAAGCTATCAATGATGGAATTAAGCTCAACATTATAGTTATTCTAACAAACGAGATAGACATAAACGCACGAGGAACCTGTCATGCACGCCCGTTACGGGAAGCTGATTCCGGTCCCCTGTCAGTCTACATCTATATGCCATTCCTACTATAGACCGAACAAATCCGTTTAGACCGAACAGCGCCGATTTTTATTAAGACAGGATCTTAAGATTGAGTAACCAGATTATGTACGAGTTTCTGTAAGCTAGAAATTATCCACTCATGTGATTCCCATGTGACTGACATCTCCACAGTCTAACGGTCGTGAGTTTAAATTATCATTGCGGTTTACTCCATAGGTTGCTTAGCAGCGCCCGCTAGCAACATGTTTACAAGTGGGATAAGTACTCCGTACGAATTAGAGTACAACCAGGCCTCGTCAAGATGGCTTGTACAGTCGTCTTTGTCAATCAACATCACTACCCACGCTTCCTGCATCCACTTCGGGCCTTCTTTCCCTTATCAGCCTGTCTGCGCCGCAGGACATGGGTCAATATCAACATAGTCATTACCATGTCTGGTCAATGGACCTAACCCTGTAGATTTGCGGTGACGGCGTTCGGGAGATGAGCGATGGCTCAGCCCTCGTGTCAATTTTTTAAGCCTGCATGCTTGTGGCTTCAAGTACGTATAGGTGCATTCTTGCTGTGAATGTGACTTGTTGAGGCTCAAGACGAACATGGGTGGTTGGTTGTTTTGCTTGTTCTGGTAAAGACTCCGTCCGCGGCTGTGGCCGATGTATGCGAGATGACAGTTAACGGTTTTGTACAAAGTACGAAGGAGCTGTTCTGTCCAGGGTAGGGAGTACTAGGCAAGCTTTTGTAAAAAGAACACGCAAATGAGCATCATTGCTCTATGCAATATCTGCCACGAAATCACTGGACCGAACGCTGACGTCGTCTTCGCTTTTAACGGCTTCGAAGATGCGGTATTCTTTCCAATAACATCCCGTAATCTATCCAACAGCCGCAGCCGTCATAGCCGTCTGATCTCTACGGGCCGAGGCCCGGTCTTATCTTGTCATCACACAATCAATTGCATCCTACAGCATCATTCCTACTACGGGTATAGTAAGCGGTAGGCAGTTGAAGGGTCATGCCGGCTTCTATATTAATATTGAACAACGCAGAGCCAGTCCCTTTCTCCTCGGAACCAACAGACACCCATAGCAATTGGCAAAATTGTCTATATTTACTGTGCCACCCGTTTACATTATTGCCTGGTTGAGCGGCAGTGCCCATGATATGAATTCTGATTGTCCAGCTCGACGATTTGCGAAATACGAATCAATGCTACGGTGTGGTTATACGCCCCAATGTCGTCGATGTAGTTGAACCCGAGGTAGTCAGCTGACAGCGGCATGACGAAGAGAGTTGCTTCCTCGGAAACCTCGCCCACTAGATACTCCCCGAGCAACACGGGAGGTGACACCGCGGAAGCAAGGCTACATGAGTCCACAGTCGCTCACAGTCCGGCAAATACGAACACCATTGCTCCCGCGATCACGAACCGGTTTCCCGAGGTAGGGCCAGGCTACAAGGTCTTATCCAGATCCTCATCGGACTTTTCTCGGCAGCCAAGATCAGTGACTTGGCTGAGCCCGATAATTCCGACCAGATGCGCCTTGTTATCGAGCTTTTATGCTAGTTTTCCGATTACGTTAACCTGATGTTCAAACGGCGCCAGCGCTGATGAAGCCACAGTATGGCATTCAACCAGATGTGTAGCTGCTGCGCTGCAGACAAAGCACCTTCTTCGACATCAGAGACAACTTCCCTCCTGTCGTCGAAGGCCGGGAGAGACGGATAGAGATGCCATTTTGCCTGAGGGTGAAGCTAGGCATTGTCTGTGCCTAAATATGATCTCCTGTGATCTCTTGAGTGAAGCCTCGATTTAGCCATATTAACATCCTGTTTGCGGTTTGCGAACGCCGTTGATGATAGGGGGCGGCGGCTCTATTTGGTGAGAATAAAATATGGGGTATGGCTATTGAGTATATCCGTGACCAGAAAATGAATGCGGTTTAAATTGTTGTCGGCTGAGTTTGGTGCTGGTGATCTTCGGATCGTAGGTACTCGGATCGGTCCGAGCCATGAGTCGTTCCATGGTAATAAAAACTATCTGGTACCTACCAATTTGTGGCTAGCGCCAATCGTTCAGTATGTTGACGGACACCAGCCCCAATTATAATGATGCCGGCGTCTCTTTCTCATGAAGATTAAATATTCACATTTCATATCATGCCGCAACTATAGTACAGTACTATACACATAGATAAGTAACGTGGATGGCCCTTTATCTACATCTAGCCATAACCAAGATCCACCAACTATCATCTATCGAAACCTCTTCTTTAAAGCCCAGTTATACCCTTTGTAGAAATTGAACCATACAGCCCTGGTATATAGTTATTCCCCCCTGGTCCACACATCAACCCACGTATCCAGCGCCTGCTTCGCCTCCTGCAAGGCCTCCATCGCTGAAGACCACTTCGTATGGCAACCATCGATCTTCTGCTGCAGATCACGGCTTAGAACCATATGTCGGGCTAATACTGTCGATCCTTGGAGGTTACCAGCTGGGAAAGGGGGCTTGGTAATTCGGAACACGCCAGTTCCGGCAATACTGCCAGTAGCAGCAGCAGCGGGCTCTTCGGTAATAGCTTGTGCGGCATCAGAGGAATTACCTACTCCTTCAAGAACCTCCTCGTTATAGTCCCTAGTCTTGCGTCCGCGTCGTGCTCGTGCTCGTTTCTGGCCTGGGCCTGGCGGCTGCAAACCCTCCCACGTGCCATCATCAGGTAACTCGAAGATACCCCGAGTATCGTTCTCCTCCGTTTCCGCAAATTTGCGCTTTTGGGAACCACCACGGGTTTGTCGTGGGGCACTGGGGTCAGCTTCTGGCGTCACCTCTCTTGCGGCGGGGCTGCTCAGACGGAGTCGGACGGTTTTCTTCTGCAGTCGAGGGGGTGTCTGGTCATCGGCGGAGATATTGCCGTCTTCACCAAGGACGCGGCGATGCGTGCAGCGGATTTTGGCTTTTTTGCAATTGGCGCAGGCGGGGGTTAGTTTGAGGGTGTCGCTGTTTTTGGAGGCTGGGCGACGACGCTGGGTTTGTTAGTTGATTCCACGATGGCATCAAGAGGGCAGGGGGGCATACCTTGTAGCCATTAGAGGGTGAACTCTCCTCTTCAGCGGGGGTAGTAGTGCCAGTGTTAATGGCCCCCTTGCTATCATCAGCGTCCTTAGTCTCATAATCCTTGCTCTCTTCAGCGCTCCTGTCGAGACCAGTACCAGCAGCCTGTTCAGTGCCTGACTGGGCAGGCGAATAGGTCTCCAGTTCAATGGTTTCTTGCGAAGAACACTGCGACGATGGAATTTGCTGCTGAAGCTCTCCATGGTTAGCACTGCAAAAGAGACACATGCCGGATGTGATGCCAATGGAGCCCTCTGCAATTGGTTCTCGGCAGCTCTTGCAGACCTGGGAACTGTCATTTAGGCTCATGTTGACGAGATGAGTTGGTACTGGACCTGAAATTGAAAGTGAAGAGAGGGAATGAAGATGGTTAGTGTAGTGAAAAGTAAGAATGATTGCAAGGCGAGATTAAGGGAGAGAGGAGGGGAGACGAGCAAGAAAATAAATACTGTAACGGGAAAAATTGTTAAATGGGCAAACAGAACAAAACGAGAAAAACTGTTTGTGAATGAATGGATGAATGGGTCTTTGTTGTCTTGTTTTTCAAGTCTGGGATTCATTGACGAGTTTACTCCCCATAAAGCTTTGTTGATGGATGGACAACAGGATGAATAATGCTACTTCTGCTAGTATAAGAATATCAAGGACATGCTGCAACTAATGGATTGCGAGATAGTACTCACTCTAATCCTATTTTGCAATTCTGTAAAATATTTGCTTTGTTAAGCCCTAACAAAGAATTATGTCCATATACTGCACCACCTTTGTCCAGTGAATGGAAGCCACCACAATGAAGTCAACAATAAAAATGCAAAGAAGCAAAATTAATCATTCACAAGCGCCGTTTACGGCCACAGTTCAGCCTCTTCCCATCGCTCCGGTTGTTTACCATCGTCAGTCAAAGCCCACGTCCAGCGTGCCGGGTTCTTATAATCCGATAAGTCTAGCCGTTCAACCTCTTGAGGACGGACTACCACCACCCGGAAATTCTTTCTAGCAGTAGGATCATGGAGATCCTCTACTTCCTGTCCAGGTTTGAGAGACGGATCCTGTGGGGCCTGGGATTTAGGATGACCAGGCGAGGGACTCTTAAATGAGCCTGTTAAGTAGTGTCAGCAAATCCAACGTCAATACTCAACGAGAAAAAAGAAGACAAACCTCGTAAAATAGGCGTATGATTCGCAAAATACGTCGTCACCTGCCTCTCCCAAGTCCATTTCTCACGACCATCCTCCGAACGAACTCTCAAACCCCTCTGAATCCCCTCCCTCGCCTCATCCTCGACACCTCCACCATCCTGATCCCCAATCACAAATGCAACACCCTTAATCCTCCACTGACTTCCCACATCCTTCAACCAAAACACCATCTCAACCTCATTCCCTGCATCCGACTCCGACGACCCTGGCTGAATCTGGCCGACTTTCTCCATTCGCACGTCCGTCGTAAATGAGATCATATCACTCTCGTAAACATCCGGATTCAGTCCGTCTCCTTGTGCCTTTAGCGCGTCGATGGCGCTTGGGTGGAGTTGCGGGCTTGGGAAGAAGCCGCGGAATCCGCACACGCGGGCTCGCGGGACATGTCGTTTCTTATTTGCATCATATGCGACTGTCGTGAGGGTAAATTCAGAGGACGAATTCTGGGATAGGTGGCCGTTCAAAAGGTCTTGCCAGGGGGCTTTGGGGGGTTCTGGCGTGGTCATGGTTGAGGTGCGGCGGGGTGTGCCTCTGGTGACAGTAGGGGCGGGGAGGTGATGTGTGAGAAGACCCGTCCTCCTGGTTATGGTTCTGGAAGCCACTGTCTCTGTTTGTGATCGTGAATTTTCAGTATGAGTCACTGTTTTAAAGAGCAATTACGATACCAGGAGCTGAGATGATATAAAAAATGCGTGACGTCGTGTGGAGGCGCGATAGTGGGTCTTCGTGTATTTCCGTTTTGACATGGCAAGCTAGATGACTCTTGTTTTGTCTTTGAGAGCGCCTTTTATAGGTTGTTAGATGTAGATGTATACTCTACGGTCAACGAAAATGGCCTTTGCAGACTTCAGTATAGTGACGAATAACAGTTTGATTCGGTATAGGTTTCTTTGCACATGAAGACACAGTAAATGTCTTAAGAAAGCTTTTGTCACTACTCCGAGTAATCCCTAATAAAAGCAAGAGATATTAAAGATGACGCGATAAATATGCCACGAGAACCAGACAGCCCAAATAACGACTCAAGTGTGCAATTAGAAAGAGACAGAAAAAAGACAAGACCGCATCATGTTTGCATCTTGTCCACATCCTCCGCTTCTGCCGTATCCAAAGCCCCTCCAGGTATCCGGCCCTCGTTCAGCTCTTTCTCCAACCGCGTAATCTCCTGTAAGCTCTTCGCTTCCCGAATCATCTTCTCGACTCGCTTCCGTTCCGCGTCGGTCAACTTGACCCGGACCGCCTTGTCTCCTTGTGCTTCGTCTGCAGCACCTCCCGAGGGCACGTCGAAGGTACGAGATTTGATGCCCATAATCTTGGATGCAAGGGCGGAGGGTTCCTTGGAGGTGCCAAAGAGTTCTTGTGCTTTGGTACGTTCGACGTCTTTCACTTTCTGGTAGTCGAGGAAACGAACGGAGGGAATTCTCCAAATAACCCAATACCGGTAGTTCTGTATAACTTAGTTTTTCTCCCTTCAAACATATCAAGGGAAAAACTGACCTCTTTCCTAGTAACGGGATTGTCGAGTATGGTCAAATGTGCTAACCGCGCCAAATTCCGCAAAGGATCCAAATCCGCCAATTCTGTTAGGTTGTTCGATGTCAAGACCAACGTGGTCAAATGGGGAACCGACGACGCCAGCGTCGGCTGGATTTGCTTGATCCGATTCCGCGCGAGAAGGAGTGTCTGAAGGCGAGGGAAGAAGGGAAAGTTCCCGAGGGAGGTAATGGAGTTGTCTGTGAAGTCAATTGCATCTTGGTCCTATCAGACACTTAGTATATGGAGTTTCCAAATGATTGAGGGATGGGGGAAACTAACCTTCGCAATACCCAAGTTTTCAATTGCGGGAATCTTGTGTCCTAAACAACTCAAACACACAAATGATATCAATCCAGCTCATTTCAAAAGTGTAGTATCTGTTCCTTTCAGACTGGTGTGTATAACGCACCTCGGAGATCAAGCTCGCGATCCTTGACAGGGTTGATATATGAAATGGAGTTCTGGATGAGCTCGACGGTCAATCGCATTGCGGCGGTGGATGGCTAAGTCGCGCTGGCGTTCTATTGGGGTATCATGCGAATAGGATATAATTAAACACAACGAGTGCAGGAAACTGTCACGAGCTCTTGCGATATAAATTAAAGACAATTGACGAGGCAACTGGGAGTAATAACGGATTAAAGCTCTTCGCGATGCTTGAATTCTTGAAGCAGCATGACCTCAAGGGTTTTGCCCGGCGGTGAACAGATAAGTCAGCAGGGTCACGTGTGCTACTGGCAATGTTTTTCTTTTTGTTCTATTGTTTCAATTCTTCTCGTTCTCAGAAAAAGGCGTATAATAGATTTATTGTTATTGACAAAGCAGTGGGGTTCATGATGGCTTTTTAATGGGAGTATACGCCGTATACAGCACCACTAAATATGGAGCATAGAGTACTTGGATCCTTCGATCTTACAGACTTACGACCGGATGAAATGTCCTTTTATTGCTCTGGATTTAGGGTTACGACGGTCCCATCGTTTAGTAATACCTGCAAAGCAATGAATCATTGTCTCACGCGCTGTACGGAGCGTCTTGAGCCATTCCTTATAGCATAAATACCAGGTAAACATGGCCTATGACACTGTCTAGCACACATGGTGATCATGTCGGCACTGGTTTAAAATGATCTGAATCAGGCTTAAGGCTGCTCGTATCTGGACGCGCACTTGTAGCCGCCTTAATAAAAGCAGGTTATGGGTCCAGAGGCACTTCGCCGATAGGCCCATGCTAGCCGAACCACACAAGAGGAGCACTATGGGGCCGGTCTCACCTCATCCATCCATCATATTCGTCGACGCCGGCCCTAGCGGCTTCGATGGTGGCGGTTTCGTCCCTATGCTATTGGCCATAGCCCGATCCATTCAATCTTGGGTCAGAGCCTGATCCTTCGTTAACCATGCCGTCACATCCGTCACTGCATCTGGTCACCATCCCTTCTCGCGACCATGTTTAACAGGTGGAAATCGGCTATCCTGGTATATGCCATCCTGCTCTTTATCGTGGGCACGGCGTTTTTTCATAAACTCGACGAGGGCGATTCATTCAGCCCGTCCTCTATATTCAATGAGAATGCCGCGGCCGTCGCGACCGAAAAAGGACCGGACTTTTGGGAATGGGAGACTAAGACGCGGTTCTCGTACAGAAAGCATGAGAAAGATGGAATATGCGACTCATTCCCCTCTCATATACTATCGCAAGTTCAAGTTGTTTTGAAAATCGGTGCATCCGAACCGCCGGACCGTCTGGATGCCCAAATATCTACGGTCACCCGCTGCATTTCGAACCTCCTCGTCGTCTCCGATATGGAGTCTGAGCTCCACGGCCATCGCGTTCATGACGTCCTCGCGGACCTACCGGAATCAGTTTGGACTAATGATGCCGATCTAGAAGCATACCAAGCACTCAAACAAGGCAACACCACGGCTGTCAACAGTCAACAGGGCTGGAACCTCGATCGCATGAAATTTCTGCCCATGGTGGAAAGGGCATATGATGTCAACCCGACGGCCAAGTGGTACGTGTTCCTAGAGTCGGACACCTACTACGTCTGGGATAATCTCTTCCGGTTACTGGATCAATACAACCCGACGGTTCCGTTGTATTTTGGTTCCCCATCGCCGGGGAAGCCTACGGCGGAGGAAACGACGTGGTTCGCGTACGGAGGTTCTGGATTTATCATTTCGGCCGCTGCAATGCAGAAGCTCGTGATTCGAAAGACAGGGGCTTATGGGGAATACATCGAGCCGTCGCTGAGTGCGCAATATGAGGATATAATCAAGGGCACTGACTGTGGCGACACGGTAATTGGTTGGGCATTATATGAGAAGGGTGTGAAGCTGTCAGGCTTATGGCCCATGTTCAACGCACATTCTCTTCATAGCATTCCGTTCGACGAGATGCATTGGTGCCGTCCAGTGATCAGTATGCATAAGACAAAGTTGGCGGACATGGAAGGACTAACAAAATGGGAAAATGGACGGGATCGGACGGTTGGTATACCTCCTCTGACTGTGTTTGTCGTGATTGCTAATGAGAAAAACACATACAGTACCCCCTGTTGTATGCCGACCTCTTCAACTACACCGGAATAGGAACATTCGACAAACGACCCGACTGGGACAATGCAGATTGGGGAGGATGGCAAGAACCCCCCGAATCATCAGCTCACACTTCATTCGATGCTTGCGGTAAAGCCTGCCATGACAATGCAGACTGTCTCTCGTACACTTACAGTTCATCCGGGCATTGCTTCTTTATCCGGTCCATGCGGCTGGGAGACAAGAGGCCGGTCAATCCCGAAGATCGTCAAACGGCTGGATGGGACTTGGAGAAGATGCAGAAATGGCGGGAAAGTCACCGATGCGAGAGAGCGCAGTGGGTGAAGCCGAGTCTTGGTCGGATCTTTTAGCGATGCATTGCCATTGATTTTTATTTGTCTTCTGTATACCCCTTGGTGGTGAATATATTTATTCTGTTCTGCTTCTTCTGTAAAGGATAGCCAATTGTATATCTAGCTAACCTAACACCAAAACATTAATACGATATTAGTGATACGGATTCCCTGATAGATCCAGGCCTGAGTCTAGAAAGATACTACGGGAAATCCGACCAGCCAAATGAGGATCGACTGGAAGCGAATGTCTTGGCGTTCTTGGCACCTCGTGCGGCGCAGCAACATGCGGCAGGATTGTGCTTACTCGAATCAATAGCATTGTCAATATGCCTATTTGAGAATAACCTCGCTTACAGACTTTTTTATTGATAGATACTCCATACAGTGAAGAGCTTTATTTCCGTACAATGGCTTAATTAGGAAACCCGGGAAAACCAGATTCGAGATTCTAGAGTTATCATCTAAACCAAATCGGACCTAGCACAGCACGAGGGCCCCGCAATGGTCCCGCTTACACCGGTTTAGACTAAAGTTAGCCGTTGACAGGCCCACGGGGACCTTTCCGTTCTCTGTGCCAATTTGGAGCCAGATGAACCAGCGATTATTCAGAAATTAGTCATGACTCGTCGGTTTCTCTCCTGTTACACAAGCACCCCGGAAAAAAGAACACCTGAAGGGCCCTGATGTTGACCTCTTAACGCTAGTTTTCCTCTGCTCTATCCCCGTATAGCGCTTCGCTGCTACTTGGCGACGATGCTCATTCGACCTTTTTCTCTATTTAGTGTGCGTTGGGTCGCTCTGGCTGTGGTCGCCACTGTTTTCTTTGCGTTCAGTTTGCTTCGATTATATTCCAACCGCAGTATCAACTACCATAGTGCCAGTACCGATGTCCAGCTAACTGAAGAACCCTACGAAATCGATGAAACGGATAAGCACCCGATTAACGATTTAATCACCAGCGCAAATGAGCACTGGCGTTCTCTCCTGCAAAAAGAAACCCACACTTTGGCCGCCGCCGCAGACCAGTATCGCTCCCGTCGTGGACGTCATCCACCCCCCGGGTTCGCAGAATGGTTCGAATTCGCCAAGTCCCACGACTCGATAGTCGTGGAGGAATTCTTCGACCAGATTCACCATGATCTAAATCCGTTCTGGGGTCTTGAGCCCCGCGAAGTGCGCCGACGGGCTAGAGGCTACGAACCGCGCATCGAGGTTCGCGATCACAAAGTGAAGCTCGTGGGGGGCGGAGTCTGGACGGACATATGGCTCGACTTGGTGAAAACAGTAGAGAAATACCTTCCGGATCTTGACATGCCTATCAATCAGATGGATGAATCTCGAATGGTGATCCCGTGGGGGGCGATTAATTCGTTCATCGACAAGGAACAAGCCAGTCGCGGACTGACTGAGACAGACAAGACCGTCAGCGAGTATATGAGTCTCTCGAACGAAGTGGATGAGGAACGCTTCGAACCGCGCTTTCTTGGTCCTGCCGATTCCAGCGTCTGGGAGATGACTCGCCTCGGCTGCGCCCTCGACAGTCCGTCGCGCGACAGCTTTATCCCCCACATCGACTTTGCTAATCCACCGCCGGAGATGGACAACTACCTTCGCCTGGGGTACAAGGGCTATGTGAAGAACTGGACACAAACGATGGATCCATGCATCCGGCCCGAACTCCAGGCTCTCCATGGGACCTTCATCGAGCCCGTGTCCGTGTCAACGACACACGATGCGTTCCCACTCTTCGGAGGATCCAAACTCCCGATGAATAATGAAGTTCTCATTCCACCAGCAATGTACTGGGCCGACAATAAGTTGTACTCCGGAGGCGACAACGAACATGGTGATGACAATTGGGACGCGAAAAAGGACTTTTTCCTCTGGCGCGGTTCTGCGACAGGCGGCCGCAGCAAAGAAGAGACCTGGACAGGCTTCCAGCGCCATCGTTTAATTTCCATGTTGAACGGAACCTCCGTGGAGGCTGCTGAGCAAACGCGTCATTTCGCCAATTTCCTCCTTCCTGACTACGACTACTACAACCTCGCTACTGGAAAGGATGGGCACCTCCCCGAATTGCTCAAAAATCACACCGACGTCGGTTTCGTCCACCTCCTTTGCTTCCCTGGTGACGGTGACCCGCACTGTCCCTACACAGACCCATATTTTGCCGTCACTCCCGGGATGCCCATGAAGGAACAATACGCCTATAAATACCTACTTGATCTCGATGGTAACTCCTTCAGCGGCCGCTACCGCAGTTTCCTCCGCTCTACCTCTCTACCCATCAAAAGTGCCATCTACAAAGAGTGGCATGACTCCCGCATTATCCCCTGGGCGCATTTTGTCCCCATCGATCCCACGTTCATGGATATCTACGGTATCATAGAGTACTTCTTCGGGGACGGAAAAGACCGCAAAGGTCACGATTCCGTGGCACGCAAGATGGCCTTTGACGGCAAGGCGTGGGCCGAGAGGGTTCTCAGACGCGAAGACATGCAGATCTACGTTTATCGATTGCTTTTGGAATATGCACGATTAAGCGACGATCGACGTGATATACTTGGATATGTTCAAGACCGTTTTGAAGAGGAGTCTGGGTACAGTTGAATATTTTGATAACTTGTTGATAATCTAATCGCTTGTGGATGCTGGTAATCCACGACCATTTGCTGGAAACGGTATGCACGTTTTGGCTGAGCATGCAGCCACATCAGGGTACATACACCTGGCCTTGCTCTGAATTGCTTTCACGAACTCCTACTTGCTCGCCATCTGAGACCCGGCCGCCTTACCAAACCTCAAGCAACGATTTCCCACGAGGACACTGACTCACTCCGACTTCTTCGAGATGGAACAGCGATGGTCTACGGACTACTGTCCTACACCTCACCAACCATTCACCATCTTTCTACACCAAGCCAGTTTTGCTATACCGGGTGATGTCGTACACGGCGGTCACTACGAACCTTTCGCAAGCCCGGGTCTCAAAGGAAGTTGGATGCATTGATTTATGACTGATCTGTAATAATCTAGCTTTGGCTATCTTGAATTTCTTTTCTTATTACATATTTGTGTTGTTTATGCTTGATTTTCTTGGTACGGAGTACTTGTACACATAGCTTATCCTGTCTTTGAAATCCAGAAACCTGCATATCTTGGCAATGCTTAATTGCACTCTTGACAAACTTCATACAGGGATGTCCACTTCATTACTAATAATTATGCTATAATGTCCTGCACTGCCATCCTGCTGGAGACGTAGACGCCTCGAATGTAGATCACAGCAGATCACGCAGCCTTGAACGGCTATTTAAGGTGCCCTGACAGTGCCATGCTCATACTCCGTGCACACATACATACCCTCCCTCTTCTCTCATAATACAACCCCACAACTCCTCCCAAAATTCACGCTCGCCCGCGTACTCCTCCGAGACGCCCTCCACCTCGACCACTGCCATCGCCAAATCTGGACACACAACGCAAACACAATCTACCACTACGCCAGCCCCAGATGCATTGAATATCGTCGCCACACGCGTTCTACTAGAGGACCGGCGTGGCACACCGGTAGACTCAGTATTAAAGGAACAAGATGGAAGTAGACAGACGCTCACCCCTCGCACTACAAATACTTGAACGGCATCCCGCCCCTCCATACCTAATTCCGCGCGAATGCATCCGCTTCGTCTCCTACCACTTCTGGTCCATAGTCCTCCTAGACGGTCCCGCTAAACACAATCGCATTCTCTCCCTTGTGGCAGAAGACCTCTTCACAATAAGACATCACCTTCCGCGACGAGCACATGCTGCTCGACGAAGCTGTCATGTAAAAACTAGACAAGACGAGTCTCTGGGAGAATTAACTGCCGTACCGGATGCGGTTGATTGAGACTTGCGTCGCCGGGAGCGTATAGTGAGTACTCGCTTGATGTGGAATATATGGGGCGGGTGTCGGTCTGGAAGGATACGGCTGAAGATTTCTAAGATTATTTCGTTGAGGCATGGGGGGTTGGAGTGTCCCGTTGAGCTTTGATATGAGACTGATGGGGAGAAGGTTTTAGTTGGGTGAGTTTGTTATACAGTTAAAACTGTAAGTTAGGGCGGTTAAGCCTCTACGGTTGAAGACCGTATCTTTCAGAAGTACATAAATTCCTCATCGATGTGATAAGGTACTAGACCACTTGCCTGCTTGCCTGCCTGCCTGCCACAGCTATTAATACATACAAGTCCAAGTCCGCATTACAAAAGTAATAAATCGGCACAACCATAGCGAACGAAGGACGTCGAATCAGGACAATAATAAAGGGCAAATAACAAGAACAAATACAAGGACCTTTCTCTCACCAATGGCAGCATAGCGGCACAGTAGCAGTTATGTACTCGTGACAATCACTGGAGCTCAAGCTCCGCATCATATAAAGCGGTCACATCAAGGACAAAAGAATAAGACAAAACCAACAACTCCTAGTCGTATGCAATACAAAGCAAAATCATCATAACATTAATCATGAGCCGACGGCGTCATGACAGGCGACTTTTGATGGTGTGATCGAGCCGGACTGCCAGTTCTTGAACGACGGCCGTTGTTCGTTGGACCCAGGGCCACAGGGGACAGATGATCGCGACCTTCGGTTCGCACTGCTAGGCCTGCCCGGTCCATCGCGGATATTCCGGAGCCAGCCGTGATTCCAAGTCCGATGGTCCCTGTGGAACTATTGTCGTTTGAGTACTTGAGGGTGGGCGTACTGTTGCCACTGCCCCAGGTCGATGCTCGACGGGGGGGTTGGAAACCTTTGGAATCAACATCGAACGAACGACGGCCCTCGTCGAGCGAGTTTCCGCGGGACTCGGATGGTCCCAAGTCGAATTCCTGGGCACCATCTTCTAGGACCCGTTCGTATGACGGTGACCTCCGTCCGAAGAATGGCACCTTCCCGCCAAAGAATTTCCGCTTCTTTGGATAGTGGGGATGGGACGGTGCCCCGCGGAACATATTGTTGATCTTGTTGTAGATCCGTGAACGACGGCTTCTTCCGCACAAGAAGAACAGCGCCATGATGATGATCAGCAAGAAGAGAAGGAATCCAGGAACGCGACGGGGAGATTCCCCGTCGAACAAGGTATCGTGCCAATGCTCGCTATGGAGACCATTGGGGTCTGGCAAAAGGTCCACACTGGGGTATTGGAAATCGTTGGGAACGCCGGCCAAATTGCTGCCAAACCCCACCGGAAGAGCCTCATCGGCATCGGCAGGAATCTGAGAGGCAGCATAGAGAACCATCTTGCCCAGGGTCCAGCTAACCTCGGTAGAATCGATCTTGTTAATGGCCTGGAACGGATCGAGATAGCCCTTGTCTTTAGTGTGCGACAAGACTTCCTTGGTCCCGTTGTGGCCGGATCCTGTCGTGTTTTCCAGGCCGACGCGCGGAATCCCAATACCATCGTGCAAAACATTGATAATCCATGACGCCTTGAAACAGATTTCAGAAGCCTTTTCTTGGTCAACCTTCTTGCCCCACCGATGCTGCAAGATGCCCCTCTCGATCGAGTCCCAATCTTGCGAACAGAAAGACTTGACTCGTTCCTGATACGTGTTGAAGTCGTATGCCTTGTCCTTGTGACCCATCTCGAAAATCTCATGCGTGGTATGCCAGTATTCACTAATCCCGATAAAGTGGTTCACATCGAAATCGATCGCGGGCACATGTGTTCCATGCAGGAGACAAGGTTCGTCGGCACATGGTGCGTCCTTGTCCAACAAGGGAAACGTTTGTCGCAAGCACTCTTCAAAACGTCCGGTTCCCAGCAGATACGGTTCGTCGCCCGGGTGTGACAGCTTCCCATCGATCGTGGTACGGAGGCCAGCGGGAAGGCAGGGGTCGGGGAATTCCTTAATACCGTCTGTTCCACTAGCTGTATGGAGTGCTTCCAGATAACGTCTCCGCGCCTCACGGACACCGAACTCAAGCCAAGATGTGACGAAAACTCGGTACTCCTGTGGGGAACCATCGACGTTACGCAGTCGCAGCAATGTCAAGTCGTTCGCGTGTTTATCGGTTTCCGTCATATTAGGGGCGAAGGCGATTTGTGCGGATGCACCACCCATATCCAAAAAGCCGTAGGTGTGGTGTCCCTTGCCGTGGTCGTGACCCTTGGGCTCGTCAAAGCTACCCAGTAGATAGTTGGTCGCAACCCATCCGTACAGACCTTCTGTTACACCGGGAATCACCTGGATATGAACATTGCAATCGGGGAGCAAAAAGTCGGAGTTGGCGCGGGCATAAGAGCAGACCTGATCGAGAAGTAATTGCCGTTCCAAGTTTGGCAGTAATCGCATTCCCGCGGTGGCGAGCAGGAAAATGGGGGTGTCCCGAACGGCATCGTCGGGGACGATTTCGCGCGCGTGTTTGAGGAGTTCCGCAAGGTGGTCGGGACCAATCAGTTCGGGTCTATCAGCGAAGGACGACACTCCTAATGGAACCGTTAGCGGCTGGCGAGGTCGCATGAATACGTGGTATTCCTACCAGGTTGAATCTTCTTGGTCCACTCCTGCTTGGTCTTAATCTCCGGGAGCGACTTCACATCCTTGTCACTTGACAGCTTGCGTGCAACGGCATTGTCCAACCAACGATAGACGTGTACACGAGTCCCAGACGAGCCCGCGTCCAGGACAACACCATAACGCCCTATCCACTAATAAGCATTCGCCACTAGGAATTTGAGACTGTAAGGTCGACGTACATTTACCCATTGGGAGACGGCCGGGGAGCGAATATTAGCGGATTATTGGGGATTATAATCTAAGAAGCATGACAAGAGTAGTGGTGATTGCGGAGAGCGAACGAAAGGGCGATGCGACAACGGAGGGTCGATCCGTCGGGGGGCGGTTCAGTCGAGGCCAGTCGAAGCCGCCGTTCCTGTGGTGAAGAGGCGAGAGGAAGAGAAGGTGGGGAGTGAGGTAGTGAGGAGAATATGAGAGAGTATATAGAGAAGAGGAGAGAGAGACCCTGAACGAACGAATGATGCAAGACAGAAATGAAAAAGCGAAGAGAAAAAGGGAGGAAGAAACCTGGATGAGAGCCCGCTGCAGATCACCCCGGTTCTGGTTTAGCGCCACGCCGTTATCGTATTTACGATACAATGTTTACAGTACTCTGTATTGTATTGTATTTCTTCGGAGTACTTAGTCGTGTATAGGTAGTACATGAATATAATGATACTATATTCTCTACTACATTTCTATCCATATTCTTCACATATACTGTACACTGTAGCAGTGTAGTATGTAGTATTGCTGAGATAAAAATAAATGACTGACGTACGCATCGGCACCCCGGAAAGCAGCATGATTGGCTGGGGCTGACATGCATTCGTCATCGTCGCCGCCAGTGGAGCTGTTTCCGGGCGAATCAACGCCCCGGCTTTTCCCGGGGTCTGGACCCTGATACAGTTTGCCCTATACGGAGTATTACCCCATACTCTATTTGCGGCAAACATACTGAGACATACAAGTATACTTGTAACTAGCTAATACCGCAGCCCGTAGTTCGGGTTGATATTCCGTTCTTTGCAATAACCATAGTACAAGTGCGCGTAACTAAACATGTTTATCATGTTCTTCAAACTGTCACCTTTATGGAAATACTCCAGGCTTCCGGTGATGGTAAACACCACCTCGGCACCCTTCCCCATATGCAGCGTGTGAATCGTCCCCGGATTTTCAACTACATAGTCTCCTGGTCGTGCGATCCAATCATACCTACCCCATCAGCAATAAACCCCTATATCAAGAATGGGAAAGAATACTCTATAATTCCACTCCCCCTTCACCGCAACAGCAGTAACACTCCCCCGATGCCGGTGCTTCCCCAACCATGTATCCTCCTTTGCGCGGAGAACAATAACAAACGTCCCTGTGCGCGTTTCAAAGCGCAACGGCTTGATTTCGAGATTGTTCACCCAGGGGTGCCAGAGGGTGCCATGTTCGCCATTGATGTAGACGTCTGGGGAGCTGTAGTTGTCTGCGAGGTTAAGCTCGGTTTTTTCGAGGGGTGAGCTTGGAGCTCGAGTTGTCTGGGACATTGCTGTTTTTCTTTTGATTGTGGGCCATTCGGTCATTTGAGTTGGAAGTCTACATCGTTGGGTGAGGGGTTGGACTGTACATACAGTAAGATGATAGGTTACCCCTGAGCTTTCCCATGCGTCGGTAAATTTCCACGGAGGGACTGCAGTAGTACTACGGGGGCTTCATTCCGGATATGGATTTGCGTGTAACTGCCTGGAACCAGAATATTACCGGTTTATGCAATGGCTAAAAATACACGGCAAAGAGTTGCCGACTAATTGTTTGATTTGAACTGTTTGGTCATGTGTCCTGCTGGGATATGTGCCATTTCAACACCCTATCCTCCCCCATAATCTTCATTGAGCATCCATGCTTATAGGCAGACAGTATCTACCATATACCACCATGGAGAATTGAGCATATAAGGGCCATTCTGGATCTGCTATTGTCATTAGTTTTGAATTGCATGAGACAATTTTGCTAGTGTGCGTCTAGACGCCTTGTGGATGCTGATCAGCACTGATTATACGAGTCATCGGTATTGAGCGTTTATCAAGAGTGCCTCGATCATTTCTTTCAATATCCTATATTCATTTAAACCCTCTCTCTTTGCATATCCGGACTCATCATGGAAAGCTCCAATTGCCATATTCCCTTGTCCCACCTGCCGACCGAGATCCTCCTGCGTTGTTTCTCTTCATGCTCCTCCTTTTGGGATGTGTTACACTTGGCTGCAACTTGCCGATGGCATCACAAACCTGGATAGACTATGGTCCTTGATAAAGCCGTGATGAACAAGCTAAATGCAGGCTCCACGAGTGTATGGGAGGATCTCTTCCTGTACCGGATGAGTTTGATTGAGGAAAAGCTTAGTCCCCCTGAAAGTTCCAGGCATGTACTTGAAGAGGGATATATGGCCGTGTCTCAATCTGGAATGACGCTTGTAATTCCTTCAAGGAGACCGTGACGTACCGAGAAGAGCAGGCTGGTGTGTCCGATCTCTAATGTCTGGTGTGATACTGAGGATGAGGACTTTTTGTTTGAATGAGCATTCACTTGTTTTATTGCTCTTTTGTTGACACTTCGAACCATATCGTTTAACCCGCAGAGTATTGTCCTTCGCATAGGCCTCTAAACTGAGTTGAATTACCTTATGAAGGGCATGTTGATGGTCTGTATAGTATATTGCCGACCCACCATATCTACTTCTCTTTAACAACCGTCTCTTGCGTCTGCGCCGGACTACTAGATCCCGACGACCTAACCCCCTCAACAACACCCATCCCAAACAGTCCCCAATCCCCGATCTCCTCTTCCACAAACAGTCCCCTATCCAATCCCACCCCCTCCACCTCCTCCCCAACCCTCAACTTCATCCCCGGGATCCAATTAATCAAATACAACAACACAGCCGAAACAATAAATGCATACACCGAAATCGCACACACCTCCGCCAACTGCCGTCCGACCTGTACGCCAATCCCATCAATCGCACCGCCCTGGTACGTCGCTCCATCGAGCGCGGAAACACTCTCGCTCGCGAAGATACCTGTTAGGAAAGCGCCTACTATCCCGCCTACTCCGTGAAGTTTGAATACGTCCATTCCTTCGTCGATGCGGATCCATTTGTTGAGGTCTTGGAGTAATGCGCAGATAATTGATGTTATGAAGCCGATGCATGCAGCTAGCCAAAGGGAGACAAAGCCTGCAGCAGGTGTTATACCAACTAGACCTGCGATTGCGCCTTCACATGCACCAACGAACGAGAAGCGGCCGCGGTAGCGGATCAGGTCAATAAGGACCCAGCCTAATATGCCGGTGGAAGCGGCGGCATTGGTGTTGAAGATGGAGACCATTGAGCGGACGCTTGCGTTTAGCGTAGATCCCCCCTATCACCTATTAATATCTGATCTCTTTGGGTTGAGGATGGTGGCTGATATACATTAAATCCAACCCATCCACACCAAATAAACGCCGTCCCCAGAAACACCAGCGTGACGTTATGTGGTTTCCGTCGTGGCACTTCTTCAGCGCTATGCTCGCGCTTCCCAAGTACGAATGCGTAGGCTAGCGCAGTGCACCCAGAAGCAATATGCACGGGGCCACCACCTGCATAATCCAGCGAGGGCAGATTATACAACCACCCCTTACTACTCCACGTCCAACGGGCGAGTGGACAATACACGATGGTAGCCCAGCAGAAGCCGAAGAGAAGAGAGGGGAGGATGTTGCCTCGCTCGAATGCGCCACCAATTACAATGATCACCTGTGCCTTTAGCATTGCTACCCTTTGGGTTCGAAGGGTAAGGAGAGGAACTCACTGTACAAGCGCAAAACAGCAACTGAAAATAACAAAACACAACCTCAGGTAACACTGCAGACCCTGACGACGGGGCGATCATCACATCTATGAGTCCGAAATTCTTTAACGTCCCAATGTACGGTCCCCCATCACGGGAATACGCCAGTGAGTAGCCCCAAAACATCCATTGCACGGTTATCCTATCCCCAGCTATCAGCACCACCCTCCACCCTTTCCAAAACTTTCAATTCAAAAGACGAGGGAGGAAGGGACTTACACAGCAATAACCAAAAAACATTGAAACAGCAACGCCAACGCCGACTTCCGTCGTGCAAGACCGCTATACAGTAGTCCTATGCCGGGCATGATGAGCCACACGATAAACGCGCAGCTGATAATGTAGACATAGTTGTATTCAATGCCAGAATATTGCAGGTTTACGTCGATTTGCGTAGGATCGCCGCCTTTGGGGGTTGAAGCGTTGTAGATTGGCTGCTTTTGTTAGAATGTGTATATATGGGATTAGGTATGGGAGGAGGGAATGCACCTCGGACATAGCGAATAATACAATGCTGAAAGAATCAATTTCAAAGGGATAGAGCAAAGCATCTTTTTATCTCACACTGAATTCCAGCCAGCCCTATCGCACCACAACCCAACCCGCAACACAAATACAGTATATTTATCTAAACTCCCGAACCGCATTCTCAGCAAGAAACAAAAACTAGACTCCTTATCAAAAAGCCAAGAATGTAATTCCGTCCGTCTCGCTTTTATACAAAGACACGTCAATAAAAGCACTTGATAAGATAGTGAGCTGAAGTCGATCCTTCGCGAGAAGATCTAGGCGCCGGATTTGTTATCTTTCTGGGGTATAATTCTGGGCATTCTTGTTGGTTGGAGATAACAATGCATATTTGCAATGCATGGTAAGGGACTGGGCATATCAGTGCATTTTTGGGGGGATGGTGATAATCAACACGAGACTGGGCCACCGAACGCCGTGAAATTCACAATACACTATGATAAGGGGTATTATATGCATACAAAAACAAGTCACCAGGACTATATATACAATCAAACCTGCCAATGCGTTACAGCTTCGCTCCGGTTGTGATGTCTTTCCGACGCATCTGGCGCGTTGACACATCACTGTCTTCGGCTGGATTCGGGCCAGTCGCTTTTTCAAATAATTGACGTCCAACGACTTCCGACATCGCCATGACCCGTGATGATACTGTAGCACCGTCTCGACGGTTTTTGCTGGTTCTCGTTAGTATAGAAGTAAAGTGAAACCGATGTATAGAACTCACCCTTCGCGACGGGACTTCGCAATCATCTCAGTAAAGTCCCAGAGCCGTCCGCGACCAAGTAGTCTGCCAGTAGCCGGATCCCGCTCAGGCGTCCATTCAGGTGCCAGCTTCATCATAGGCGCTTTGCGGGATTCCTTGCTCTTGGCTACTAGGATGATGCCTTCTTCTGCGAATCGCTGGTACGCGTTCTTGAGCGCTTCTTTGTTAACCGCTTCGAAGTACGAGAGGTCACCTTGGTGATATAGAGTTTTACCAAGCTAGTTGAGTTAGTGAAGGGATTTATAGTGGAATAGGCGAAGAACTCACAACTTGCGCGCTATCCTGCGTCTTCTTCAGATCAAACCAGAGATCTTTCTGGCTTTCCGATGGCGGAGTGAGGCCAAGGAGAGAAACAGCGCCCAACCATGATGCCTCGATGAATGGCCAGATAAGGAAGCAGTAAAAGTCGTAGTTCTCCCGTCCACATTGCCTCTCAGATGCACTCAGCTCGACAAAGAGCGGGGCTCCAGATGCATCGCGGGTGATCTGGATCACATCATCCTTCTCGAGCCCAGCCAGTGTCCTTTCCAAGTTCGTTGTGAAACCCTCCGGAGGGAAGATGAATTCGCCACGGAACAACTGCGAAAGGAAAGTAACCTGGCTCGATAGTTCGTCGTAAGGGATGCGCTGATTGGCTGGTCCACCACCCTGCTTGATCCGCGTGTACATTGCAGCTGATACTAATGCTTCGGTGATGAACAGGTGGATCGTCATGTTACGATAGAAGGAAAGCTGGAACCGATCCACAGCGTAGTAGGTCGGCTCCACCAGGCCAGGCACTACGCCAACAAGCTGCGGCCCCAGGACTTCGAGCGCGCGATCGACGACCGTCTCCGTGGGCAGTTTGTAGAAGTGCGCCACGCGGCCTCCTTTCATTCGGACATGTTCACAGAGCCAATTCAGTCGGCGCACCACTTCGCCCTTGCCAACACCGCGCCCGCGAAGTGTCAGGAGGACTGTCCCGACCAAAGCAGTTGGCATCATCACAGACACGTTGTTGATGTCTGATAGCACTCTATATCCCAATGTTCTCAGGATTCGTCCTCGCTCGGTGTAACTAAGTGCCTGACTGTTGGACCCAAGTTGACGTGGCATTCTGGACATCTGCTGTGTGATGAATTCTCGTAGACTCCATGGTTGCTGGAAGCGAACATCAACACGACCCAGACGCAAAGATAGCACGGAAGACGAAGAGAGGAGGTCTGCAAGGTTTTCTTTTCGCTTGGGCTGGCCGAGAAGCTCACTGATATACGATCTGAGCCACATTAGTAACAGTTGCGATATAAATCTGGTGGTCTCTTACTCAGTTTCGATAACCTTGTCGTACTGTGTGCTAACAGGACAGATAATGGTATCCTCCACACGTCCAGATAGCACACTGTCCACGATGAAATTCAGAATTCCGAACTTGGGTGATAGAAGTTTGCCGGTTCTCGAGCGCCCGCCTTCGATGAAGCATTCAAAGTTGAAGCCTTGCTGCAGAAGCGTATCAATATATGCTTGCACGACAGTATGGTACAACGGATCATTTCCGAAGCTTCGACGAATCCACATGGCACCCGCATGCTGTAGGAACGGTCCTAACAACGGGATGTTCAAATTATCGCCCGCCACGACAACAGGTAGACCAATTCCCAAACGATAACAGATAAGCTGCAGGGACACATAATCGACGTGGGACTTGTGACACGGTAAAAAGACAATGGATTGCTTCTTTTTGGCAGCTTCCTCTGCGACAGATCTCAAACGAAGGACTTCTTCGCTGGATACGTGGATACCTACTAATGTTAGCCAATCATGGGTTGAGATAAATAGATGTCGTGCATTCTATGCCCACCTTGATGATACGCCCGCGTTAACAGTTGGGTACATAAGTAGTATGCCCCCCGAATAAACCTCTTGCTCTCCATCTTGCAAATCATATTGTCCATCATGGAACCCACCACATCTTCTAGGCTCTGTTTCAATTCGCTCCTCCGTTGTGTCCTCTTCTGCTGCAAGGTACCGGTCTTGATCGCCAATAGTCCCTCCTTTTCCTCAACAGTCAACCGTGTCTCCGCCAATTCATTGACCTTGTCCTGCAAAAGGGGACTGCCGAGAATATGCGACTTGATGTTCTCCGAAAATCCGGAGTAGAATATAGGTTGTCCGATGACATCGTCGTACGCTCTCCACCCGGTACCTGACATATGTAAACTCACTTCGCGCAGGAAGTCAAACGGGTTCTGTCGAAAGCGCGCCATGTGACGCACCAGGTTGCGCTCCGTGATCGACCCATCCTGTTGCTCTGGTCCGCCGGTAAATCCAGTAGGATGAAAGGTAACCTGGTCTCCGACAATCTCCAGGTCCGGGGCCGATTCGCGATCGTCAACGGGGGTTTTATCCGGCGGCATTGTTGTTCTTTGCGATACTTCGGTAGGGGATGTTCGGAAGTGAAAATAGACCTAGTTATTCAAGATTCAAATGGCCATTGAACGAGAAAATGGCGTCAGAAAAGATGCAGAAGCATGGCAAACAGCAAGAGATCAAAGCAAGGCCGTTATTTGCCTGGCCAATCGCGAAGTTAAAAGCCGGACATTTCCCAACAAAACGTTGATCGTCCCCAAACCCGATTCCTCCAGAATGAACCTCGGATATTAGTCACGTGAGTCAAACTGTGCTCTAGGCCAGATCGGGTAACGCGCCGGCTGCGTGAACAAACAAAGGATGAACTCAACGCCGCAGTCCGCATCACAGCAGCAGATAGATAAATGGCAGCGCTGCTCATTCTCGAGCATCTTTGGGCAGATGCGACCGCATTGCGCTCTTCTCGAACATATCCCTGCCAAGGTTGCTCACTTTCCACGTTGAGCGCGACGGCGTACTCAGAGTAGACGGCCTGAGCTGCGGCAGCTCCACCAGCGGACAATTTTACCAACATCATTGCCCAATCCTTTCCCGTATCGCTCACCACGGGTTTCTTTAGCTAACGGAATTATGTTTCGTTTCGCGAGGGCTCTTATAAGTATGACACGTCTCCAGTGTGTCAATCGATTAGTTGCTAATTGTTTCTTCCAGCTCCCTCACCTCTATCCCGAACCGTCACAATGTCCCTCTCTTCTGCCCGCCAATACTCCTTCCAAGTATTTCGAGATGTCCCTCCCCTTCGCCAATTCAGACGGCAGTTGCTGCTCGAAAACCGGTCCTTGGGTTTCGTCCCAACAATGGGCGCCCTCCACGAAGGTCATCTCTCTCTGATCCGACAAGCCGCAGCTGAAAACACAGACGTCTTCGTTAGTATATTCGTCAATCCCACGCAATTCGGAGTGAACGAAGACCTGGATAAGTACCCGCGCACCTGGGATAGCGATGTGGCCAAGTTGGAGGAAATCAACAATGAACTCTCTCGGAACACTCAGAATGGACGGGTTACTGGTATTTTGGCACCCACACCACAGGTCATGTACCCTACCATGCCACCTTCGTCAGAAGTGGACGGACACGGTTCCTTTGTCACTATCACTCCTCTTGCGCATAAATTGGAAGGTGCCTCGCGTCCCGTGTTTTTCCGTGGTGTCGCGACGGTTTGCACGAAATTGTTCAACATTGTCCTGGCCGATCGGGCTTATTTCGGACAGAAGGATGTTCAGCAGACGGTGATCATCAAGCGCATGGTCAAGGACTTTCACATTCCCACTGAAATTCGCATTGGTGGTACCATACGGGAACATGATGGGTTGGCGATGAGCTCGCGCAACGTATACCTGGGAGCCCGGAGACGAGCGGTTGGTCTTGTCTTCTACAAGGCAATGAAGGCTGCTGAAGTGGCATACCAATCGGGCAAAACTAGCCGTGATGACGTTCTCGGGGCTGCATTTGCTGTGGCCAACCAGGTGCTCGCTGAGCAGCAGGCCCTGCAGCCGTCCGAGAGAGCGCTTTACGAGGTGGATTACATCTCTCTTGCTGACCCTGAAGACCTAGAAGAAGTGCAAGTGGTTGATCCATCTAAGGGTGCCATTCTGAGCGGTGCTCTCAAGATGGCTCCTCTTGAGGCAGCTAAGCCGGATGAAGATCGCGGTCTGGGTGACGGGCAGGTTCCTGTCAGATTGATCGACAATTTTGTTTTGAACCCTCGTGTCTGAGCAATTGAGCGTGCACTCCTTGTTTATCTGTTTTAGACTATAAATAATCCCAGATTACTAGAAATACATGTCTTCTTCGTTATCTTACTTGCCAAAATACCTCTGTTCTGAAATGATTACATGACCATAAAAACCAAATGGAAAGTAGGGCAAATCCATAGGGTTCGGAACCACCCCGGCCCGAGAAAATTTCCTTAGCTCCCGCCCCAGAAAAATTGAAGTCACCGCAAGCCGGAGCACCGGAAAATATCGAAACCCCCAAACCAAACAAAAAGGACACAGCCATGGCCGACGATGGCATGCTCCTCAACTTCTCCCTCGGAGACGATATTATCAAGCCTGAGCCAAAACTCAAAGGAGGCACATGGCGCGACCGCCTAAGCGCAAAGAAAATCGCCCAACACCGAACCAAAGCCGGCCCTAAGACCCCCGGCGACGAATCGAATAATACATCGCAGAATCCGAACCGTATACAAGTTACACAGAGACCCGCGAAGAGGCAGAGGATCGAGGGTGGGGAGGGACCGTCGGAGGGACATAGACCGTCGCATTCGCAACGACAAGGACAGCAGCCAAAAGAATTTATTTCGTCGCTTTTCTCGAAGAATCCGCTTCCACAGACAGCCGAGGATGAAGATCAGAATGAAGAGACTGGTGAAGATGCGAAACCGACTAATGCGCCGCTTATCGATGGACTTGATACCTTTACCAGTTTGGGGCTGTCGCCGCAACTAGCGGCGCATCTTCTTACGAAACTTGAGTTAAAAGCACCAACCGGTATTCAAAAAGCGGCTGTTTCGCAATTGTTGAAGGAGGATAGCGATGCCTTTATTCAGGCTGAAACGGGTTCCGGAAAAACACTGGCGTATCTGTTACCGCTCGTGCAGCGAATCATGGCGATTTCGCTGGGTAACTCGGAGACGGATGAGAAGGGGCAGCCGGTTGTTCACCGTGATAGTGGACTTTTCGCTATTGTTCTTGCCCCCACTCGTGAGTTGTGTAAGCAGATATCTGTCGTTTTGGAGGGGTTATTGCGCTGCGCGCACTGGATTGTGGCCGGAACGGTTATTGGTGGTGAGAAGAAGAAGTCGGAAAAGGCGCGGTTACGGAAAGGCTTGAACATTCTTGTGGCCACGCCTGGTCGATTGGCGGATCATCTGGACAACACACAGGTATTGGACGTCAGCAACGTGCGGTGGTTGGTTTTGGATGAAGGAGATCGATTGATGGAGTTGGGTTTTGAGAAGGAGTTACAGGGTATTGTGAATAAATTGGATGCGAGACAACGACCGAGTCGCATCTCGGGTGTTCCTACGAAGAGAACGACGATTCTGTGCTCTGCTACGTTGAAGATGAACGTGCAAAAGTTGGGAGAGATTAGTTTGTCGGATGCTGTGCATATCAAGGCTGACCCGGCCGATGAGGATGGGAACAAGAATAAGGACGAGGAAGATGCTTTTAGGGTACCTGCTCAACTTAAACAGTCTTACGCCATTGTCGCAGCCAAATTACGACTGGTTACGCTCGAGGCATTTATGAAACGGACGTTCTTCCGGAAAGGCTCTGTCATGAAAGCTATTATCTTCGTTTCATGCGCGGACTCTGTCGATTTCCATTTTGAAGTCTTTACAAGACACAAGCAGTTTAGAAACGAAGAAGCCAAACCCAGCGAGGACGAGAGCTCAGATGAAAAAGAAACGAAAGAACAGCAACAACCTCTTTCACCCCACGGCACCGTCGCTCCTGCAACAGCTTTCTCGAACGAATCGAACCCAGTAACCCTGCACAGACTTCACGGCTCCCTACCCCAACACGTCCGAACAGCAACCCTGAACTCCTTTGCTAAAAACCGCGACCCCTCCGTCCTGATCTGTACCGACGTCGCATCCCGTGGTCTGGACTTGCCCAACGTTGACCTTGTTGTCGAATACGACCCCGCCTTCAGCGCAGAGGACCATCTGCACAGAATCGGCCGTACAGCCCGTGTCGGTCGTGACGGTCGCGCCCTGATCTTCCTGCAGCCAGGGAGTGAAGAGGGCTACGTCGACATCCTAAAGCGCGGCTACCGCGACGGAGGTAAAGCGCTCGCCCGCACAGATGTAAACGAGATCCTGAAGCGCGGGTTCGGTGGAAATGTCGAGTCTGCGAGCCACGATTGGGAACAAAAGGCGGGTGATTGGCAGATTGACGTCGAGCGCTGGGCAATCGATAACCCGCAGTATCTCGAGATGGCGCGGCGGGCATTCCAGTCGCATATTCGGGCGTATGCTACGCATATTGCCAGTGAGCGGAATATGTTCAATATCAAGGAATTGCATCTTGGACATCTGGCGAAGAGCTTTGCGCTGCGTGATCGGCCTAGTAAGATCAATGTGCCTGGGCTGCGTCAAGGACAGGATGCCACGAAGAAAGACTACAAGGCGGATAGGAAATCGACAGCCGGAAAGAAGAGGAAGGCTGGATCTGGTGGCCACGATGACGATGATGATATCCCGACACAGACAGATGCTTCTATTGCAGCGAAGAAGATGAAGGCCAAGATGAGGGAGCATATGGCTGGGGCGAGCGAGTTTAACCTTGCCTAGCCTAGCCCGTATATAGAAGTTGTAGAAAGCGATCATTTCAATAGATATCCCATAATGAAATCTTTCCATCTTTCGAGCCAACAGATAGCCAATGGGTTTTTTGTGTCTTTTGATTTCTTTGTTGTCGGACTGTTGCGAGTGATCCCTCGTTGCGTCTCATAAATTGCGTTTCTTTCTTCTCTCCTGGTTTGGACCCTGCATCGGTCGTAGGCGAAGCAGTAGAATCATTACCGAAAACCTCCGCAAACGCAACAGCATAACACCCATCTTTATGCCACTTAAGCACAGCGAGCTCCTTCATCGTCTTGCACGAATACACCCTAGTCCTGGAATCCCACCCCGCAGTAGCAAAGATCTTCCCATCAGAACGTATACGTAGACCTTGCTGCCCGGCATGTTTCGTGCTAATCATTTTCAATGCCTTTTCCTCTGCATGACCCACGCCTACAAGACTCGCATCAGGAATAAGATGTTTCACAAGTACCGAATCGGCAGAAGAAGAGAGAAAGTAATCTTTAGACGGAGCGATATCGATCGACAGGACTGGTTGTGTATGCGGCTTGCTCGCATAAAGCTTCTCCCATTTCCAAGCAGTGCCTTTGCCGCTCGCGCTGGACGAAATCTCTGGTTCAGTTAGCTGGCCACGTCGGACAAAGACCATTACCTGGCCGTCTTCGTAGGCGGATGTGGCGTATAGTTCTCCGGAGGACAGTAATAAACGAACTGCCATGACCATTCCGGTGCTCGTGGCTGGGTCTGCCGGGATGGTCGAGACTCGTCGTTCTAGGGGCAGATGGAAGATATCAATTGCGCCGGAGTTGAGAGCATTGGGGACCGCGAAGAGCACGGGTGGTTGAGATGTGCTGCTCGGTGGTGACTGGGTATCCGAAGATGGTCCTTCCTGTTTCACATCGTCACCAGGACTAGGAGCCTCAAGAAAAATCATATCAAATGCACAGAAATTTAACGCATTAACCGGGAGCGAATGTAACATCCACGGTTGATTCTGCACGGCCTCTCCCTCCTTAACATCAACCGGAAGAGTTTTATCAAGAAACCCCTCATCCTTCACCCCAAACCTCCAAACACGTAACTTGTGATCTCGTCCATGCCTGCAACGTATTAATACCAATTACTTTCGTTGGCCATAGCGGAAACTTACGTATAAACAGCCGTCCCATCCCCACCAAACTCAAACCCCTTTGCCTCCAAAACCGCACCCCCATGCGCCTTCCACGAGACCACCGGCCGCTTACTCACCATATCCCAGACGATGATCCAACCTTCTGCATCGCCGGAGATGAGGCGGAGGTTGTTGGCGAAGAGATGCAGGGCGTGGATTGGGGATGCATGGCCGCGGAGGATGTATGTTGGTGTTGCGGGGGATTGTTGGTTGGATGGGGTGGCCATTTTATTTGTGATTGTTTGTGCTGGAGGGTAAGTTAAGGGATTATGCGGTTCATGATATTGCTGGAATGAAATGGGGTCGGTTATGGGAAGAGGTTGTTTAGTGGAGTAATAAATTACTTTCATTAGATACATACAGTCTTGGCATTGGCGGTTTAGTTGGGATAACCTCAAGTTTACCTTTGCAAATGTCCAAATTTAGCTATTAACATAGTCGAGCCATTCCCAGGATAAATATCCGTCGTTTCAAATTTCTTGAGATCTGCCTTTTTTATTTTCAGGGGAATCTCCTCCAGTGTGCAAGGATCAACAATCATAAACTCGTTGACATAACGTAATCCACAGCCGAGCTGACCATTCTCTCCGCAACTTCCAACAATCATTCTTCAATGCGTCATATTTTCACCACCACCATATAAAATGTCTCTTTCTCAGGAATCCCAAATGCAAATGGCCATTGAAGCTTATAAAAAGAAAAAAATCCGATCAAAATCGCGCGCTGCTGCAGTATTTGGTGTGCCTAAAGCTACCTTGCTCAACCGGCTTAGAGGAATTCAACCACGGTCAGAAACACGCGCTAATGGCCATAAATTAACAATTTTTGAAGAAGTCCTAGATAAGCGTCTGCTAGATGCAGATAAACGGGGGTTTTCAATTAGACCTGAGTTTCTGCGTGGAATGGCACAAATCTTACTTTCTGAGCGTACACGGAATCCTTCTTCAACTATTGGAGTCAACTGGGCATACAACTTTGTTCAACGCCATCCAGAGCTTCGTACAAGATACAATCGGAGAATTACATACCAGCGTGCAAGACAGGAGGATCCAAAGGTTATAAAACAGTGGTTTGAAGTTGTGCAGGGCACTATTCAAGAGCATGGTATACATGAAGATGATATTTGGAACTTTGATGAGACTGGCTTTGCAATGGGACTCTGTACAACATCCAAGGTGATTACTGCAGTGGAGCACAGTGAAAGACCTCGCACAACTATCCAGGGGAATCACGAATGGGTCACAATCATTGAATGTGTGAGCACAAAAGGGATTCATATACCTCCAGCAGTTATCTTAAAAGGTGTCACGGACTCGGACCAGTAGATACTAATGAAATGATATTCCTATCTAACCAGTGTAGCCATCGACTAGAATATCGAATCTGGAGAAGAAAAGAGAAGAGGCAAATCTATTTACATGAAGAAGTCCTATATGTTTGTGTGTGGTCTCGCTAAGCAGCTTGTTTGCCTTGGTTGCTTCCATGACATTGTTTGCCGTGTTGATGATGTTTGCTGATGAAGGCGCTGAGCTGAGCCGTTACATAACCCCCCTCCTTAGGTGGAGTCTGTCCCCAGACTCTATGCAGACAAGTTATCATCAGGGTG